TTATATTAGAAAAAATCAGAATTCACATGTTCAGGTATTCAGAATTCAGAAACTCAGAGATTCTGAGATTCTGGGTTTTGAGGTGTAAATAATCTGATATTCTGAGATTCTGAGATTTTGAGATTTTCAGATTCTCAGATTCTCAGATTCTCAGATTCTCAGATTCTCAGATTCTCAGATTCTCAGATTCTCAGATTCTCAGATTCTCAGATTCTCAGATTCTCAGATTCTCAGATTCTCAGATTCTCAAATTCTCAGATTCTCAGGTTCTGGAGATCCTATGATTCAAAAATTTCGAGATTCTGAGATCCGGAAGTGTTGGAATTCTAGGATTCTAGGATTTTAGAACTGTAGGAATCTAGGATTCTCGAATTCTCAAATTCGTGGATTCTGAAATTTTGAAATTCGAAAATACTGACATTCTGAAATTCTGAGATTCAGAGATTCTGAAGATTTTGACTATTGAATTTTTGGAAAAGAGTTCTGAAAATTCAAATACTCCGAAATTCCTAGAATTCCAAAAGCTCCAAAGTTACAGAAACTAAAACGTTCTGGAAACAAAAATTTACTGATTCAGAAATCCAAAATTCGAGGTTTGGAGAGTCTGAGACTGTGAAAGTTCGAAAATTCTGAAAACGTCTAAATCATGGGAACCTATTTTTATAGATTTTGAAAATCTGAAATTCTTAAATTTTGAAAGTTAGAAAAATTCCAAGTTTTTGGAATTCTCCATTTCTTGATCTCTGTTATCACCTCATTCTCCAAAATCCCAGACCATTTGTTGTCATTTTGTCTTCTCCACGAAAAATCTCTTATTCCTTCCCGAAATTCTCTCCTTTTTTTCTTCTTCCAAACACACACCGGTTCCTTTATTTCCTCCGTTTTTCTTCTTTTTCTTATCACCTTATCATCTTCTACATTTTCCCTCATTTTTCTTGATCTAGGCCTTCTTTTTTCGTTTGTTCGCCAACATTTTCTGGCTGATCTGATGACCACATCCCCTTCTTCTTCTTCTAATCATTGTCTATGTTTTGGTCACATTTTTCCTGTAGCCTAGAAGAAAATTAGGTACAGTAATCTACAAAAACACTTTTTCCAAAAAATGTATTTTCCAGTTTTCTAAAAAAGCTTCTTAAGGTCATTTTACCTCTATTTGCATAATGTTTTTTATTTCGACTGACCACAAAAATCTTGTTTATTTTCATTTAAAAAATTTAAATAATGGTCAGAAGACAAAAAGAAATAAAAGCGACCATTTCGCTTGGGGATTGTCGTTCGAATGTTTTCCTCGAATTCTCAATTTGTATTTTGTTAAGATCAATCCTATCAATTTGACGAATTTGGTTCTTATTCTTCTCTTCTGAATCGTACAAGTTCCTTGAATTCAAATCAAGAGTTTTGGGTCATTCTTCAGGTCAAAAGTCACAGAATCCATGATTCGCGATCACTGAGATTTTGGGTATTGATAAAGATCCAAAATTATGATTTTTTTATAATTAAAAATCTGAAAACTATATAATCTAGAATGTCTGAGTCTCGCTGTTAGGAAGTTTCGATTTTAATTGGTTTTTGGCCATTTTAAACACTTTCATTAGACTGGAGATCGGCTTGTTGAGTTTCTGATCATTTGAAAAATTTTTGGAGTGTGTAAAAAAGATCTACCGTGAAATCTGCATTAGAAGGGCCCCTTTAATATAAGGGTCCTCCGAGAGCCGGCCCTTCTAATACAGGTTTTACGGTAGATTGAAAACTTTGCTTTCAGAGAATTTGAAAATTCTCAGTTCCAATTTCCGGAAGACCCATTTTTCCACTTTTTCAGTACAAATACGGGCAACAAGCGATGTCTCTCAGAAATTTCTAAATATCCGAAAAACTAGGAATTTTTAAAAAATTCTGTGAATGCAAAGTTTTTAATCTCGGTCTGTCTAACACCCTTCAAAATTTTCAAAGAGATCCGACACTTGAGAGCTCCAGACTCCTGAAAATGGTCAAAATCAACTGACAAATATTTTAACCAAAGAAAAATCCGGAGATCTTTTGATTTCAAACACTGATTTTGATTTCAAAAATCTGCGAATTCGAAAATTGGAAGTTGTGGATTTCTGATATCTGTACATTATCAAGTTTGTCCACAAACTGACTGAATAGGCTTAAGCCAACATAAAAACTACATTTCCTTTTTCTTGTAGCCGATGTAGCCTCTTTATGCCCTTTTTCAAGTTTTACGTGACTCATACTAAAGAAGGTTAAGAGAGAAATCTAGAAAATGAAGAATTTCTAGAAGTTTTCAAGGTTTCCAGTTTGCCTTTTTTAATTGGAATAGTCTATAAAATGTTCTTGAACAACATTTTTGTTGTCTACAATTTTTTATTTCACTCTTTTTGCTCTAATAGAACACTTACCTATATGTCCACTTTGAGTTCAATTATCATAGTTCCTAGTAAAGATATCAAAAATTTGTCAACTAATAAAATGTTTATCATAATATCATCAATATTCTATCTGTTAACAAGTTTTTGCTTACTTTTATAGAAAGCGAGATAATTGGGCTCAAATTGCAAGTAACGTTATTTAGAGATTTTCACGTTTTAAACTTTAAGCTCGATTATCTCGGTTCTTATAAAAGATAACAAAAAACTTTTAACTGATGAAATGCTTATCATAAAAACAGTTTATTAGTTGACAAATTTTTGATATCTTTCATAGGAACCGAGATAATTGAGATCAATGTGAAAGTACCGCTCATCCTGTAATAAGATCTCCAACTTTAAACTTTGAGCCAATTTATACCGGTGTCTATAAAAGATATCAAGAAGCTGTCAACTGATAAAATGCTTATCATAATATCAGTAATATTTTATCAATTGACAAAGTTTTGCTATCTCTTAAAACAACCGAGATAATTGAGCTCAAAATTTGTGTCTGGCTCTAGACCTCTAATTTACAAATCAGAAGTTACCCCGTACTTTTTTGACCACCCGCCAAAAACAAAACAAAACCCAAATCCCCCGATTTCCACGCAACTTTCTCTCTCGTATGGGGGCTTGAACCCCCTCTTCAATACACACCCATTCATATCCAGTTCCAATATATTCTCTCTCTCTCTCTCTCTTTCTCTCTCTCTCTCTCTCTCTCTCTCTCTCTCTCTCTTTCTCTAACCACTCTCTCAGATCCACATACTCTCTCACTCTTCAACTGATCCTGTAGCCGACTTCCGTATATCCATTGAAAACGAGAATATCATGAGAAGAGATTCAGAAGAGTGGGAGAGTTACTGTCTTCATTCAGTTCTAGTTATTTTTTGTCTGCTTCTCTGTCTGATCTCTCATTTTCCAATACTCTCTCCATCGTTCCAGTATTACTTTTAGCCCTCTTTTCTTTCCATTCGTCGTTTAGTCGTTTTTATATGACGCTTATTATTATTAGTAGTTTTTTGTACTATACGTACTAGTTGGTTTTTGATCTACTTTTTTGTACTGTACTTTTTTTAAATTTTTTGAGGGATTTTAAACGTTTTTGGTGGCTGAAAAACAGAAGTACCTGAGATTTTTTAGAATAAAATTGAGTTTAAAAATGTTAGCTTGCCCAAACCTTTCCATCTGATAGAAGCCCACACTTTACGTGCACTTTGAGCTCAATTATCTCTGTTCCTGTAAGAGATATTAAAATCTGTCAACTGATAAAATCTTGGTGATATTGTGATTAACCATATATCAGTTGACAGATTTTTGATATCTTTTGAAAGAGACGAGATAATTAGGCTCAAATAAGACAAAATTTGTCAAGTTTGATTTTTTGATAACTCTAAAAATTACATCATTTTCACTATTTTTTTTTCATACAAACCAATAGGCTTACGAGTGGGTGCAAATCGCAAGTCGCGATTTGCCACAGATTATTTACATATGACCATCGTCACAATTTTTTGTTCGATTGGTCATAGTTTTGGTCATAGAATCTCGAAATTCCATACTCTCAGAATATCAGAATCTCAGAACAAAAAAAAGAATCTGAAATTTTTTAATTTTTTAATCATTAAATTATATCTCCTTATCAATATCCCCACCCATTTCGATTTCCGCTCATCTGAACCCAAAAAAAACTCAAAGAAAAACCGGCTTCTATCTCTTTCTAATGTCAAGGGCATACCCATATTTTTATTCTGACCATTCTCTGATTTCTTGTTTTTTTTCTATTTTTTTTGAGGTCTCCAAATTCCAAGGTACAGTACTCCACAATAAATGGGTACTAAAATTTTTTTGACCACTGTAATCTTCAGGAGCATAAAGTAGTTTAGATATTACAGTAAGAATCTACAGTAACCCTGAGTTCTAAATATACTACAGTAATGGTTACAAGGTACAGTACTCCACGAAAAACCGGGTACTAATTTTTTTTTTGGGTACGGAGAGCTACAGTAGTCCTCATTGTGAGCAGGCTTTAAGATTGTAACGTCCATACCGTAACCCTTGGTTTTAAATCCCTACAATTAGAATTTCTAGTTTTCTGTTTTATTTTTGTGTCATATTTCCCTCCAAAACATTTGTCACAAAATTTTCAGCATTACCATTTATGTTCCCTCCAATTCCTTCTCCTTCTTTTTTTCTTGAAAACCAGTCCCAATAATTTTTCGTCCCATTCCATTTTTCTGTAATCTGATCAAAACGTCTTATAACCTCTCTCGTTCCCACTTTCGACCTCAAATTCATCTTGATCAAAACGAAAATCATCATTTTTTCGAATTTTTATGTCATGATGCCCAAAAACAAAACTTGTTCCTTTCTCGTTTAGATTTTTATCTCAAACTCTAATTTTTGTGTTTCATCTTTATTTTTTTTAGTCTTGCTGATGTCTTGTTTCGTTTGCCACTTTCAAACTTTTTTGATTACTGTATTTTTTTGAATTTTCAGAAATCCAACATCGCTCAAACACCAGCCAGTGATAAACCCCAAAAAGAATAGAAAAGAGGAGCGAGAGAGAAGGCACACAGAGAATCAGATCTAATATTTTCGAATGAAGGTGCATTCGGAACGGCCGCCTGGCGCGGATCGGCCTGGAGCCATCAGACGGGTAAGCCCGAGATTTTTTTCTTTTTTTCTCAGATTCTGAAATTCTGTGATTCTGAGATTCTGAGATTCTGAGATTTTGAGATTCTGAGATTCTGAGATTCTGAGATTCTGAAGTTTTGAGGTTCTGAGATTCTGAGATTCTGAGGTTTTGAGGTTCTGAGATTCTGTGATTCTGAGGTTCTGAGATTCTGAGATTCTGAGATTCTGAGGTTTTGAGGTTCTGAGATTCTGAGATTCTGAGATTTTGAAATTCTGAGATTCTGAGATTCTGAGATTCTGAGATTCTGAGATTCTGAGATTCTGAGATTCTGAGATTCTGAGATTCTGAGATTCTGAGATTCTGAGATTCTGAGATTCTGAGATTCTGAGATTCTGAAGTTTTGAGGTTCTGAGATTCTGAGATTCTGAGGTTTTGAGGTTCTGAGATTCTGTGATTCTGAGGTTCTGAGATTCTGAGATTCTGAGGTTTTGAGGTTCTGAGATTCTGAGATTCTGAGATTCTGAGATTTTGAGATTCTGAGATTCTGAGATTCTGAGATTCTGAAGTTTTGAGGTTCTGAGATTCTGAGATTCTGAGGTTTTGAGGTTCTGAGATTCTGAGATTCTGAGATTCTGAGATTTTGAGATTCTGAGATTCTGAGATTCTGAGATTCTGAAGTTTTGAGGTTCTGAGATTCTGAGATTCTGAGGTTTTGAGGTTCTGAGATTCTGTGATTCTGAGGTTCTGAGATTCTGAGATTCTGAGATTCTGAGGTTTTGAGGTTCTGAGATTCTGAGATTCTGAGATTTTGAAATTCTGAGATTCTGAGATTCTGAGGTTCTGAGATTCTGAGATTCTGAGATTCTGAGATTCTGAGATTCTGAGATTCTGAGATTCTGAGATTCTGAGATTCTGAGATTCTGAGATTCTGAGATTCTGAAGTTTTGAGGTTCTGAGATTCTGAGATTCTGAGGTTTTGAGGTTCTGAGATTCTGTGATTCTGAGGTTCTGAGATTCTGAGATTCTGAGGTTTTGAGGTTCTGAGATTCTGAGATTCTGAGATTCTGAGATTTTGAGATTCTGAGATTCTGAGATTCTGAAGTTTTGAGGTTCTGAGATTCTGAGATTCTGAGGTTTTGAGGTTCTGAGATTCTGTGATTCTGAGGTTCTGAGATTCTGAGATTCTGAGATTCTGAGGTTTTGAGGTTCTGAGATTCTGAGATTCTGAGATTTTGAAATTCTGAGATTCTGAGATTCTGAGGTTCTGAGATTCTGAGATTCTGAGATTCTGAGATTCTGAGATTCTGAGATTCTGAGATTCTGAGATTCTGAGATTCTGAGATTCTGAAGTTTTGAGGTTCTGAGATTCTGAGATTCTGAGGTTTTGAGGTTCTGAGATTCTGTGATTCTGAGGTTCTGAGATTCTGAGATTCTGAGGTTTTGAGGTTCTGAGATTCTGAGATTCTGAGATTATGAGATTCTGAGATTCTGAGATTTTGAGATTCTGAGATTCTGAGATTCTGAGATTCTGAGATTCTGAGATTCTGAGATTCTGAGATTCTGAGATTCTGAGATTCTAAGATTCTGAGATTCTGAGATTCTAAGATTCTGAGATTTTAAGATTCTAACTATAAGGTTCTGAAATTCTGAAGTTCTGAGATTCTCAAAAACCGAAAAAAATCAGAATTTCGGAATCACAGAATCTCAGATTTGGATTCTCAGATTTTGACATTTTGAGATTCTGATATTTTGAAAAAATGAGAGACTCAGATCATCAGCTTCGGAAGGCTAAATTATTCTAAGAATCTGTGATCTTAACAATTCAAATTCGAAAATTTTAGGATCTATAGAACCAAAAACCTCAACTTTCCAAAAATCCAATAATTTCAAAAATCCAGCTTCCGACCTCATAAATCAAATTTCATATGTATATCACCTCATCCATCATATCAATTACGTTTATCTTCTTATCAGACCACTAATTTAAAATTCTTGATTCTTCTCGAAGCTTCCAAAAATCCTATCCGATTTCAGTTTCACTTCCGAATTCCAAAAATCCTATTTTCGATATCTTTTCTTCTGAATGACTTCTGAGGAGAAGACGTCGCTACTTTTAGAAGCTAAATATTGTATTAAAAGTGTGTTGGGCAAAACGCAGAAGAAGGTCTAAAAATTCTGAAAACTTCGATAATGAGTTTTCAATAATTTTTTTTTCAGTTTGTCGAAAACCGACTAATTGGAAATTTCGACTCTGAAGACTTCTCAGATGCCTGGAAGAAGAAGTTCTCTCACGCGCCAACATGGTGTGACGCCGATATGTCGCTGCAGCAAATTAAGAGGGTAATTAACTTTTCCAATTAATTATACACCCAACTAATTCTAGGGCAATGCTCAAGGAAACCGAATCGCCCTCTACGCCAGAGCATTCTTCCAGCTATGGCTTTACAGAATAGGATGTTTTGTGCAGAGATACGCGGGTCGACTATTATAATTAGGTAGTTATCTCTAATTAGTTAATCTTAAAAATTTTAATTTTTCTCCAGTATGGTCCTGTATTGCCTCTGTCTTGGCGGCCTTCAGCACGTTGTCATTGAGACGGACTTGGTGAAACTTTGGGTATCAGAAGGAGGACGGTTGAATGAGGAAATGGAATATTTGGGACGAGTGAAACATGAAAGAGAATCTGGACATCTTCATCATATGCATAAGATCAAAAGAGATATTGAGAAAGCTGTAAAAGCTCCACCTGCCGTGAAAGCTGAAGTTCGGAGAGGACCAGAATTACCAAAGGAGAACGGTCTGGGAGGAGGTTTTCAGGTAAAAAACTTATTAAAAATTGCAAAAACGCTGAGTTTTGAATGTCTTATTTTTGCGAGGAGATGTTAACATAACGATTTTTTGAAAATAATTTTCTAAGATTTTCAAAAACAAAATTGAAAGTAGGATACCGTAAATCCGAAGGAAGGGATCTAGCTTTTAACTTTGAGCCAATTTATCTCGGTTCCTATAACAGATATCAAAAAATTGTCAACTAATAACTTGTTTATCATAATATCACAAACATTTCATTAGTCGACAACTTTTTGTTAGCTCTTCTACATACCGAGATAATTGATCTCGACGTCGACGGGTTGGGTGGGCATCTATTGGATCATTCACGGAATAAATAATTTTTGGAGACCAAAAACGAACACATCTCTTTATGAATTAAACTAATAGTAAATATTACTTGTCTATTGAAATTAATATATTTATTTTTTCAGAAAATTACAGTACCCCCAGACAACCTCATTTTTTTTCAGGTCGTAATCCAAACGCCATCCTACGACGGTGAAAATGTGCTCTCAAAGGAAGCGCTCCAAAAGCATACCAAATTGATGCAAGAGATTGCCAGCTACGAAGTTCACATGTTCAATGAGTGAGTTTTATTTTCGGAATTCGAATTTGAATACTGTGCCTCAACTTTTCCACTGGTTCTATTTACCGTAAACACTCTACCAAACTTTGAACCCATGTATCTCGTTTTCTTGAACAGATATCAAAAAGTGAACAACTGATAAAATGTTGCTTGCGCCCCGAAAAAATTCCGAACAATAAAAATCTGTAATTTTTTTCAGAACCTGGACCCTCGCTGACATTTGTTTCAAGCCCCCAGGACCATCGTTCAACAGTGGACCTCTTGCTGGAATCATGTCGAAACTCCTCGATAAAATTATTCCGTGTATTTGGATTACTCCAGTTGATTGCTATTGGGATGGCGCCAAAGCGTTGGGACCAAACCCACCATTGAATTTGGGGTGAGCTTTAGGATTTCTATTTTTTATTTTTATTTTTTTCATTTTTTCAGACCAGAAGTTGCCAGTTTCATTTCCTCCCTCCCTCCTGGAAATGTCACCTGGAAAAACTTGAATCCAACGTCCGTCATCAAAGAGGTCGGACAACTTTTCGACTTGGGACCAATCGGTAACTTTTTCGAGAGAGCCGGAATCGATGGAGCGTACTTGGATCGTCCATGTATTGACCCACTAGAGGAGGAATGCCCAAAATCTGCACCAAACTATTTTGATCGATGTGCAGCGTTGACCAAATTCAATGAATGGAATTTGGCAAAGTCAATGAGTGAGCAGGTATGTTTTTTGGCTTGAAATGTCAGAAAAAAGCAAAAAGGTAGAGCTCAAAAAGAAAAGTAGACAAAAAAGAGAGAGAGAGAAAAAAAGAAAAAAAGAGTTCTGGAGGTATGGGAAATTGAACCCCAGCCCTCTCCCATGCTAAGGGAGCGCTCTACCACTGAGCTATACCCCCGGCGAGCAAAAGCAGGGTGAAGGGCAACTAGGAATGTGAGAGAAAAAGAGGAGCAAAATAAAATTTTAAAAAAGAAAGTTTTAGGTCACACTGGAGCGCAAAATCATTAAGAAGGAAGAAGAGACTAAAGACATTGCCGAGTCGATTTTGAGTGATATTTTTGGAAAGAAAAGAAGAAAGAGGCAAGCAGAGGCTTCGGAAGATTCAGAAGACGTCACCACGACTACAACCAAGAAACCAGCCAGTGGCTCCAAGAAAGACGACGACTACTATGCCTATGAAGACGATGCGGATTACATCAATGGCCTAGGAAACACGACGACTCCTAAGAAAGACGCTGAGAAGGAAGCCAAGAACACGCTCTGCTTGGAATACGGTAGTTCGTTGCTCAAATGGATGCAAGAGAATCCAACCAGACTTGGAGAGTTTTTGACGAAGGAGGAGATGCCAAAATATCCAAATTATGGAGATGTGATGACTGGGGGATGCAAAGGATTCGGAAAGAAAATTATGGAGTGGCCGGAGGATTTGATTATAGGAGGAATTGAGAGAGAAAATGGAAAGTTGGTGTCCGCAGAGGCATTGCAGTCTGTTTTCTTGGTTTCTGGACCATATGATGTGTTTGCCAGAATTAAGGTGAGCTTCCAAACTTTTGAATTTTTGAATTTCTGTGGATTTCTGAATTTCTGAATTTCTGAATTTCGGAATTTCGGAATTTCAGAATTTTCGAATTTTTGAATTTCTATGAATTTCCGAATTTCTAGAATTCTGAAATTTTTTAATTACTAGGATTCGGAAATTTTTGAATTTTGAATATCTGAGATTCTGAGATTCTGAGATTCTGAGATTCTGAGATTCTGAGATTCTGAGATTCTGAGATTTTGAGATTCTGAGATTCTGAGATTCTGAGATTCTGAGATTCTGAGATTCTGAGATTCTGAGATTCTGAGATTCTGAGATTCTGAGATTCTGAGATCTTCAGTTTTTGAGATTCTGTAATTCTGAAATCATGAAATTTTGAAAAAAAAAGTTGTGAACTTCATTTTTTCGTATCCAACGCCAAATTCTTCCAGAACGACAAAACCGACAGTCACCCTGGCCTAAACCGTCACGGTTTCCAACCATGGATGGCCGGGGAAATCATCACCACATGGCAAAGAAACTTCACCAAGAAACTCTACAGACACGAGCTCAACCAGGAACGTCGTGTGTTCCATCCATTGGCTTCCACCTCCATCGCTGATATGCTCGAAGAATTCTCCCAGTTTAACTACATCATCATTGTGATCGGCTACATTTTGATGGTGATCTACGCCGCGTTCACCCAAGGAAGATTCCAAGGATGGTGGTTGGCAGTTCAGTCGAATGTGGCGCTGGCTATTGCTGGAGTCATGCTGGTCACATTCTCTTCAATCTGCGGATTAGGTTTTGCAACTCATTTGGGCATCAATTTCAATGCTGCAACAACTCAAGTGGTACCATTCCTTTCTCTTGGTTTGGGTATTGATGACATGTTCCTTTTGCTGCATAACTACGATGAAATCATCAATATCTGCCACAAAAACGAGATTGGAGTTCTTCTGAAAGAAACTGGAATGTCTGTGATGCTCACTTCGATTAACAACATTCTCGCCTTCATCTCCGGTTACGTTCTTCCAATCCCAGCTCTTCGATCCTTCTGCTCCCAGACTGCAATCCTTTTGGCGTTCAATCTGATCTTCCTCATGTTCATTTTCCCAGCTATGATTGGAATCGATTTGAGAAGACAGCGAAAGGGAAAGAGAGATTTGGCATATTGTAGCAGAGGAACACCACAGATGCCTGCTAGTCAAAGTGTGCCAAGCAACGTTTCCAATGTAAGTTCCCGACTGTTTGAAGCGCCAGAGGCGCGACCAATAGGCTGGTTTCTTTTTTGAGAATCCATTCAATTGGTTCGACTTGTTTTGTGCTTTGAAATGCTTTAAAAAAAGCTCTCCACGCCTATCTTAAAGCGAGTTACGCGCCTTCAAAGTTACGAAGAGACGCAGAGAAGCTAGAAAGTCGCGTTTCTCTGCGTCTCCTTTCTTCACACAGTGTCTGATGATGTTATTTTTAAAGAAGCATAACTAGCTTTAAAACTGTTGTAAAGAGTTGGTTTTTAGCGCGTTTTGAAGCTGAAAACAAGGCAAATTTTTTCATAATAGAAATTGTCAAAATAAGAATTTTGTCATGAAAAATGTATTTTAAAAATTCTTTGGTATCATTTATTTGGTTAGACTTGCGTTGTGCTTCAAAATGCGCTTAAAAGCAGCTCTCCACGCCAGCATTAAAGCTAGTTATGCGCCTTTAAACTTTTGAAGAGACGCAGAGAAGCTAGAAAGTCTCAATTCTCTGCATCTTTCCCTGCGTCGGTCTCCTCTTTTCAGGCAGTTTCTGGTGGTGTTTTGTTGAAAGGCTCATAACTTGTTTCATATTTGTCGCAGACAGCGCATTTTGAAGCTGAAAACAAGGCATATCAAAAAAAGAACTAAATTATTTTGAATAAAAACTCTGGAAGTGTAAAAAATTCAATTTGGGCTAAGATGATTTAGTTCAAACTAGCATTAAAAATATAGAAATCTCAGATGTCATCTCGCGCTGAGTTGGCTGGATACGACAAACAAGCCGCCGAATTCAAGCGTCACGAGCCATGGTATACTGTAGGAGGATTCTTGAACAACATCTATATTCCAGCATTGAAGAATAATCTTTGCAAGGTGAGCAACTTATTTTTCTCTAACTTCATCTTATATCATTTAGGCCGTCATCCTTATCGGTACCGCCACTGCTGTAGTCTTCGGTCTCTACGGAATGTACACCTCTACTCTCGGACTTGAACTTGCCGATGTGCTCCCAGAGCACACCCCACCAGCAGCTTTCCTTCGTGCCCGTGAAAAGTACTTCTCGTTCTATCCAATGTTTGCAGTTCTTAAAGGAAATGACATTGACATTCCGAACCAGCAACAACTGATCGAAGAGTACCGACAACAGCTTGGAGCATCGAAGTTCATGATCAAAGCAGAAGGAAAACTTCAACCATACTGGATGTCTATGCTAAGAGTCTGGCTTCAATCTCTGGATAAGGCTCTTGAGAAGGATCTGGCAGCTGGAAAGTTCGATTTGACAAATGGAAACCCAATCAAGGTCAATGGAGAGAAGCCAACACCAGAATCAATGATCGCCGCGAGACTTGTCTGCTCATTCGGAACGAATTATGACTGTAGTGGAAGGCTTGGAAAGATAAAAATGGTTGATCAAAACGATGTGATCAATCCAGAAGGATTCTACAACTACTTGACCGGATGGTTCAATGTGGACAACATGATGTACTATGTGTCCCAAGCATCCTTCTATCCAACACCACCAGGATGGGAATACAACGAGAAGACCGCCAAGGTTGTACCTGCCGCTGAACCATTGTTGTATTCTCAAATGCCATTCTATCAAAACGATTTGGTGGACACTCCAGCGATTGTTAAGATGATTGAAGAGATTCGAGCGATCTGTGAGGAATACACGGAGAGAAGTCTTCCAAATTATCCATCTGGAATTGCATTCACTTTCTGGGAGCAATATTTGTCATTGAGATTCAACTTGTTCATGGCTATCCTTATCATTGCTGCCGCTGTCTTCACTGTCATCTCGATCTTGATGTTCAATCCATGGGCAGCTACTCTGGTAAGAACTTTGGCTGTTTGACAAAAATATTTTTATATTCTTCAACTAGTCATCTGTTTGCCGCGCCTACTGCACTTCAATCAGCTGGATGGCGCGCCTTCCGCGCGGTTCAATCTAGTTGTTTGCTGGTTGGTCGCTTCGCTCCTCTCGTGTTCTTAAAGGGTCACGTAATATACTTATTTTGCAAGTTTTTCAAAACCGGGCAGCGTTTTATATATCTTCCTTATATATAAAACGCTGACCCTTTAAGAAAAGGTCAGGAGCAAAATAATGAATCAGTAAAAACTAGACTGAATTGATCTGAAGGCGCACCAGCTAGCTGGTATATATTCTTCAATTTCCAGATCATGTGCATTGTTGTGATCACCACCATTGAACTCGGTGGATTCATGGGTCTTATGGGTATCAAGATGAACCCTATCTCCGCGGTCACTCTCATCTGTGCCGTCGGAATCGGAGTCGAGTTCACTGCTCACGTCGAGTTAGCCTTCCTGACATCCCTCGGAACCATTGACCAACGTCTCGAATCTTGTCTCCAGCACATGTTCGTTCCAGTCTACCACGGAGCGATTTCCACATTCCTCGGAGTCGTCATGCTCGTTTTCTCCGAGTTCGACTTCGTTGTCAAGTACTTCTTCTACACGATGACAGTACTTGTGGCACTTGGAGTTTTTAACGGACTGTGTGTTCTTCCTGTGATCTTAACATTGGTTGGACCGGAACCTGAGCTGATTCCTTCAAGTGGAGATTCGGTGCTTCCGCCGCCACCACCATTGAGGCAGCAGAATGCTGAGAAGGATGGGTATGGAGGTGGTTTGGAAGGTGGAATGAGGAAGCGGAAGGAGAAGAAACAGGCGGAGGTGAGTTATAGATTCTAAACAAGGTAATTGAATTTGAGTTGTAATTGAATAGTTTCAACATGAATGTCAAAAAAGTAGAGCTTCATTATCGTAGTTTTTTAAATATAATTTCCATCTGGAACTTGAGCGGCTTCAAATTACATAACCGAAGAATTTTGGAATCCTCAAAAACTTTTCATTTGGTTAGATTTGTTTCCCTTTTCAAAATGCGCTTAAAATCAGCTCTCCACGCCAGCATTAAAGCGAGTTACGTGCTATTAAAGTCTCGAAGAGACGCAGAGAACCTAGAAAGTTTTGTTTCTCTGCGTCTCCTCTTTTCACGCAGTGTCTGGTAGTGTTTTGTTTAAAGGCACATAACTTGCTTCAAACTTGTCGTAGAGATTTGGTTTTTAGCGCGTTTTAAAGCTGAGAACAGGACAAATTGGGTGAAAATTATTATAAAAACCTCCGAAAAATCCAGGTCGAAATGTCCGCACGGGACTCTCCATCCACATCGTCAGCGTCACACTCATCAGATGACGAGACAACAACGCCTAAATAACTCTCTTCATATTTTTTAAATGTTTTTTTTCTTTTCTTGCCAAACGGGTCACCGTTCCCCCCAAACCTTCTTTTTCCTTGTTATTTTGGTAGTTTCTTCCTTCTTCTGCATATCTGTACTATATGGTTTTTTACATCTCGACGTTCTTTCTTTTTCTTCTGACTTTCCCGAGTTTTCGAAATTCCCCGCCTGATGATGTGATATCAAGAAAAATGTTTTTGAAAAAAAAATTTGAATTTCAAAGAAATTGTTTTGAATGCGAGGAATATTTATTTCTCAGAAAAAAATATATTAGCCAATTTGTCCAGGAAGAATATCGATTAGGTACAAATAGCACCAGATGAATCCGATAAGGCACGTTGGGAAGCGACGTTTTTGGAGTTGACCATAATGATCAGTGACTGAGAAGAATTTGAAGCCCGATGGACTTTCAGCACTCTGAAATTTTTGAAAATGAGCGTATAATTTGGGGTTATAAGATTTTGGGGTATTGGGATCTTGGGCTCGCGGGATCTTAGGATCTTGGGGCCTTATGGTCTTGGGATGTTGGAAACTTGGAACCTTGGGATTTTGGAATCTTAGGATCTTTGAATATTTGGATCTTAGGATCTGGGAATTTTGGAATCTTGGTATCTTGGGATCTTGGGTCTTAGTATCTTATGATTAAATAATTCCCCAAAACTTTCAGCTTACCGTCATAATGGTCACACTGAACACTTCGTTTCCTCCTCCAGCTCTCGAATAGTTCACCTCTCCCGTGATCTGACCTGCTATTTCCCGTTTTGCTTCAATAACTTCCATTTTCAAGTTGTGGTGTTTTATGATCAAGATCTCAACAGCCGATTCATCTGGAGCTTCTGTCTCTGGAAACATTCTCATCAATGTAGCTTTTTCTTCAGCGTCCAGAGCCTTTTGGAAGATGTCCAAATGGTTTTGAAGAATCTCTTTGGGTCCCTGAACGACTCCATGGAAGTAGCCGAGGTCCCTTGCATGGACAAAAGTAGAGAGTAGGAGAAGAAGTATTGGAGGAATACGAAACATTTTGAATGAAGAATAAAGAGCGATGGGCTTGAATTTATAGGTCGAATGGAGATAATGATATGCAAAAAAATAGAATGTTCGTGGGGGCATTTTTATGACCAAAAATTGTTGTGCAAGGGGGAGGAGCATAGAATGAATGATCTATGATCAATAATGACAATCATCTCGGCCAATAAATTCAAGCCATCGCACCCCCGTCTCTCCATTATTTTTCCATTTTATTGGAAAATGCGCTCCTCATATTTTCTTCTTCTTCTCTTCGTTGTCTTTTCTCGAGGAACAAAACATGGTCCATCGGTATATAAGGGAGTGTGCGGCGACGGGGACCTAACTGATCTCGTTGGAAACAACTTCGTCTAATTCATCATGCCGAGAAATACACTGATGAAGTTCTCCTCGAAAGTTTGATAGATAGATATATAGGTTAGTTTATTTAGTTCTACCAGCCTGTTTGTCGCGCCTCTGTTGCTGCAAACGGTTGGCTGCTAGGCCTTCGGCGCGAATTAACCTATTTATTTTACTGTTCGTCGCTCCGCTACTCGCTTTTTTAAAGGGCAAAGTCAATTTATACTTATTGGCAAATAGCTGAAAAACTAGGGACAAAACGGAAAATCAACGAAAAAATATGTTTTCTAATAACTTATTGAACGGTACAGTTGTCCTTATTCTGTGGCTTTACGCAGAGTTAATGATTTTTTTTCAGATCTAGAAATCGCAAGGGAACTACTTTTCGTTGAAAGTGCTCGTTATGAATCTTATGGCAAAGAGTTCTACAGTCAAGGATACCGGCTCAAAACAAAAAACAAGTACGAGATCCATTTGCGCCATTCGCGGAAAAGTATTACTGGATACCAGATCGATAATATCAGTCGTTGCTTTAAGGATTGTGTTATTAATTGAATTGGAATTTTTAAATAAACATGAGCATTTAACGCCGTGTTTTCAGGCAATTTGAGTAAAGCAGCTTCAGAGCTATCAACTTGCTGAACGCCTTTTGGAATGGTTCCTGATTTTTTCAGAGCACCTTATCAGCACTTTCCGAATGCGCCTCCAGGCGGACAAGTTATCAGAACTTTTCCCTTATAATTAACCAGGAAGCTGTTATTTATCAATACGGCACTTTTTTGGATCTGACGTTTCAAAATCTTGTAAGAGAAAAATAAATTTTTGAAAAAAAAAATGGAAAAAATAACGAAACTTCAAAGGATTTGAGATTTCAGTTCACAATCCCAGGACATATAATTTTTGGTCATCCTTCTCTTCGATTTTTTCTTTCAATCATTTCCTTTTCTCAGCCCCCCCCCCCTCTCTCTCTCTCTCTCTCTCTCTCTCTCTTTCTAAAATTATCCCTTATTCGATTAGCTCCCAAACTATAAAACCGTCGCTCCCTCTTCCTCTTCCCTACCATTCCTCTCTTCAATGAAATTCTTCAACATTTTTGTTCTTCTTTCATTGGTTGCATTCTCCCAAGGAACCGTCTACTGGATGAAGTATATGGATTTGGTTCAAGTTCAGGCAAACTTGATCCTCTTTGTCCATTCACATTACGATACTGCTCTTCTCCGCGAGCTTCTTAGCTCTGGAAATAGTGAGTTCTTTTCGAAAAATTGATTGTGTAATTTCCAGCGATGATTTTCAGATATTGACCGCTACCTAGCTAGACACCCAAAGAAAGTCATGTTTGCTCAAGTCCAATCAGCCCAAGGATTGATGGGTAAAGTCATCACTGGAATTGTCCTTGTCCACGATGAAGGTAAATCTTACCATGCCAAATTGCATATGATCCCGGTAAGAATTACAGTTGTTTTCATATTTGACATGCGAAAATTACAGAGTGTCAGCAGCCCGACAGGATATAAGATCGACAAGGCCATCGTGTGCAAAGATGAGGAATGCCAAGAGGAATATGAAGATTGATTATTGTAACACTTGAGAATTAATATTGCGCATACTTTATTTTTGTTTTATTTTTGTTTATTTTATTTTTGTTTGAATTAATTTCAAAATGAATAAATAAGATCCTTCTCTGTTTTGGATAATCCTTCTCGTCCGATGAAAACTGTGTACTTTGACACAGTTATGAAATGGTCTGACACGCACCTGATGTGTTTTATAGGCCATTTACCATGCTGGACTAACTTTGCAATTTGAGTTTTTTAGGCCAACATGATGAATTACCTAGAAATGCCTCCATATTCACCTGGTGTGTTTTATAGTTAATTTCCTATGGTGGCCTAACTTTTGGTAGTTGAGTTTTATAGACCACCAACGTTTATGGCAGAACTGGCCCATCATCTACTTGGTGTGATTTTTATGCGGTTTTAACATAGTAGCCTAATATGAATTTTCTTGGCCACCATGACGAATTACCTAGGTATGACCTGGTATTCACCTGGTGTAGTTTTCATGGCATCTTAACGATATGGCCTAACTTTTGCTAGTTGAGTTTTCTAGGCCACCAACTTTTATGGCTTAGAACTTGTCTGGTGTGACTTTCAACCCATTTTAACAAGCTGGCCTAACTTTTACTAGTTGAATTTTCTAGGCCACCAAATTTGGTTCAAATGTTCGTTCGTTCGAATGAACCTAAATGTTGACACCTCGTTTTTCAAACCCTTCTGAACTGTTCTAGAAAAGATATTTTCCTCACAGGACCTCTTACCTCTGATAGGATTCAACTTTCCCTTTTTTGCAGTTCTTTCTATCAAGTACAGTATCCTCTTTCTATTTCTTCCTCTTCAAAAGCTCCACGTCCTCAATTCCCGACGATGTCATTTTTCTCATGCATTCCCTCTCTGGGAAAGCGATTCTTCCCAACCCGCCTTTATTCGATTAGCTCCGAAACTATAAAATCACCGTTCCATCCCCATCATCCTCATATTTTTGAAAATGCGCTCTTCCCATATTGTCCTTTTACTTTTCGCCTTTTTTGGTCTGTCCCAAGCTTCCATCTACTGGCTGAAGTATACGGATATGATCCAAATCCATTCCAATTTGGTTTTCTTCGCCAGGGAACACAAAGGAACCGACCTGTTCTATGCTCTGGTTCAGCGTGATAGTGGTGAGTTTTTTAGTAATACGTTTTACAGATACAATGAGCCCATAAATGTTTTTTTGATAGTTATACAGTTGCTATGAATCATACTTCTCTGTGTTATCGTCTCAATAAATTGGTAGTTCAGAAATGGACCGCTTCCTGAACGGACTCCTAGGACACAGATTTGAAGACTTCGAAGTTCAAGAGGCCTACGAGACGGAGAACAAAAACGTTTTCGCGATTGTTAGCTCTTTGGACCATATCCATTCTGTGAAGCATTTTTTGCTAATTAGTTTGAGTCCAGTGAGTTTCAGATTATCAAAATTTTGCGTCATTCCAAAAGTTTTCAGAGTAGCACAAGCCCAACCGGATACATCATGGAAAGAGTAGAAATTTGTGTGGGCAATTGCGATTTCACTCAATTTTGATCACAATATTTCGGTTGATAATAAAGAATGAGTATTTGAGCAGTTGTTGGGTGATTTGAACTTACCGTAAACACAACTTTAAGCCAATTTATCTCGATTACTGTAAAAGATAGAAAGAATGTGTCAACCGATAAAATACTTGTGATACTATGATGAACAATTTATCAGTTGACTACTTTTTTCTATCTTAGATAGGTACCGAGATAAATTGGCTCGAAGTTGACTGTGCTCACTATGAACGAAGCGCCCTTATACACACCCACTTTGAGCCAATTTATCTCGGTTACTGTAAGAGATAGCAAGAAGTGGTCAACTGACAAGATGTTTGTGGTATTATGATAAACAATTCACTAGTTGAAAACTTTTTGATATCTTTAAGAAGAACAGAGATAAATTGGCTCAAAGTAAAAATTTAGAGGGCTCTTACAGGCTTTACGGTAGACAGGCTCATAGGACTTTTCTGATTTCTAGGATAAATGAATTTTCAAATGTCATTGAAAAAATTACAAAAGTTCGTATTGATTAGCCAGACACAAATGTGTCTGTTGATCCCTTTCGCCACGTAGAGGCTCAGTACATGAAAGAGTAAACGTTTTTCCAGGGTAAACGTATAACCCATGGGTGACTTTAAAAAAAAGGAAAAGCGTGAGCTCCAGAATGCCATCACTCCGGAAAAGTGGCACAAAAGAGCAGCCGTTTTGTCCGTGATAGTGTTGAAGGAGAAGGGTATGGATGGCAGGGAAGTTATTCGTCGAATGGTTGCCCCGACACGTCTCAATCCAACTGGTGTGAACTTGATTCACCTTCATGAAGCCAATAATATCTAACACATACTCCTCGGCCCATCGAGTCGTCATACCATGCAAATCATGGTAGTTGGGACCTTTGGGGTAATCGAGGTTGAACAGTCTTACCTTATAATTGATCATGTCCTCGATCACCAACTCTTACTCTCGTGACCCCGCCGTCTTCTTCATCACGTGAAGCTTTTGAACCTCGTCTTGATAGTCCTGCTTCAATTGGGCAAACTCCTCGGTCTCGAGGAAACGCTGGGCGTACAATTTGGAATCTGAAGGATGTATAAATTTACACAAATTTCCATACCTGCAGTTTCTCGATCCTCCTTTGGCAAAGTTGACACATAAGCGTGTCTTATATTTTTGCTCGGTCGGTGCGCTGTCGACAGGTCTGTAAACAGATGTAGAATCAAAACTAACCTCGTCAAACATCGTTGGTTGGCCATTCCAAGCATCCTGGCTCATCCATGGATCTTGAATTTCTTGAAAACTGCATTGAGGGATGACTGGAATCCAAGTCGTTTGATGTCCAATGTAGACGGCTGCTGAGTTGTAGCCGTTCTGAAAAACACGGTTTTTTTCCAAAATTTCAAATTGTATTTCTTGAGGTTTTAATTTTTTTCTAACTCTTTTTCATGTACCGTAAAACCTGTAGTAGAAGAGCACTCCAACTTTGAACTTTGAATTGTTTGTTTTCTCTGGGATTAGCTGGCGTTCTCTAAATAGGCCAATTTCTGTTGTTGTTTTGTTGATCGCGTTTAAAGGTACAGACCTTTGCGCGCTCCAGGGATCCCGACACGAAAGAGGGGAGAGAGGGGGAAGCGCCGCCCATCGGGCCTCCATTCTACGTGTGTGTTACGTCCCGCCCGCCCAGTCCCCACACGACGATATGCAACAGCACAAACAGAAAAAGTCAAACTAATGAGTAGAGTAGAGACACAAGAAGTTGAACGTGATAAAGAGAGAGAATAGTATTATAGTTACATCGTATTTCAGAAGGAAGAAAATTGAAATTCCTGGAGGAAATAGCTGAGTATGGAGGACCAGTGGACTTCAATCAACTCACACATGTTCTACGAACCGTCAGCAGAAAGTCGAAAGCCATCAATACAATAAAAGCGTATGACAGAGAGAATCATGTGAGGAGGAAGTGGTTAAGCGCAAACCATCTCCCTCTGGACGAGAAAACGACGATTCTCTACCTGGCTCATCGATTTTTGACAACAGGAAGCGGTTCTCTGGCAAAGATCGCTTCCGCGTTTCAAATGGCAAATGGGACATTCTCAGTTCTGGAAAGTCAAATGGTGTCGGATATGATCAGAGCAAAGAGAAGAGAGGAGATAGCCACCAGACAACAACCAAAAATGGTGGAACTTGAGAGTATCCAGAAACTTTTTGAATCACTTTCGGATGATCCCAAATCGGAGCGAGATACACTCATAGTGGTTTTGTCGTTTTTCGCTCTCCTTAGAGCAAGTGAAACTGCAGAGCTGAAGTGGGAAGATATCAAGTTTTCTAAGAATCGTCTAGAAGTCCGAATCAGATCGGCCAAAAACGATCAGCTAGGTCTGGGACGGAGCACTTTCGTGGAATGCCCAGAAGGAGGAGATCTGGATTGTCTCATCAAGCGATGGAGAGTTAGGGTCTCACTATCAGGAATTACATCAGAGTTCTTGTTCCCGAGTTTTCAAAAAGGGATAAGCTATCAGCAAACACTATTTCATCTATCGCCAGAAGACGTCTGGAAATGATAGGAGTGAGCGCCACTCATCACGCGCTCAGAAGAGGATCGGCGAACGAACTTCAAGCCAAGGGACTCACTTTAGAGCAAATCAAAGCCAAAGGACGGTGGAGATCGGGAGGTGGCTTGATGAGATATCTTCAAGACAATCCAATGGCCCAGGGACTCAGCGAGGTTCCAGAGGAGAAGGAAGTGACAGGGGAAGCCGAAGAGGACGATGGACCACCAGTACTAGAGAAGGAAGTCTAAATGACTCAATTGCTTGCTAATCGTGTAATATTTGTTAGAATCGTATTAACAGGTTATTGTAGTACCGAAACGTTTCTTAGTTATTTATCAAATCTATCAGCTTCATAGTATATTATTGTTCTCATTAACAAGTGTCTCTCTCTCATGTTGTTGTTTGTTCTCACTAATTTATCGCTTGTTTCTCATCTTGTGCCATCCAAAAATTCTTATGTCCCCGTTATTTAGTTATCACCGATAACTACTTCCCTTTGTCATTATACCCGTGCGTACAGTTCATCTCTCTCTGGTAGAAGCACCACTGCATTCTACACACCATATCCATCATAAATAAACCTGTATCATCCATAATTTTCGTTTGTAGTCTTATATTTCAGCGTAGTACTAGAGAAAACAATTTCTCCATGACACGCAGTGGAGAGGAGAACCAATTTTCCTCGGTTCCTGCCAAAGATATGAAAAAGTTACTAACTGATAAATCGATTATCATCATATTAGAAGTATTTTATCAGTTGACAAATTTATGACATCTTCTACAGAAATCGAGATATATGGGCTCAAAGTTGGTGGTTTGAGTGCCCTTCTATTAGAGTGTTTACGGTATTTCAAGAACCCAAAAAAGGGTGTTGGAAACAAATGAAAATTTAAAAAAAAATAGAAAAAATAGGAACTACACCAGAAGAAACAATAAATTTCAAGAAAAAATTACTAACCTGCTGAATTGGCATCTGCATCTGATGGCACTGGTAATCGATTCCGAACATGACGGTAGGGAATAACAGACTTTGAAATAATAGGTAGTGGGTAAAGAAGAATGAATATTCTGCGCATGTTTTTCTTCCCAAAGGCAACATCCCATATGTGAGGAATGATAAGAGTTACCTCCTATTCATTTAGAGTGTGGGAGGCAGATGTTTATGTCAGGGTGAAGGTGACTTTGTTGAGATAATTATGCATCAGGGAATGTAGTCATGAGAGCATGTAGACGTGAGAGAATTGTCTTAGAATCTTGGGGTTTTCTGGAAATACCTGTAATAGGAGGGCCCCACATTCTCAAGTTTTAGCTCAATTATCTCGGTTCCTAGTAAAGATATCAAGAATATGTCAACTAATAAAATGTTTTCGATATTATGACAATTATTTTATCAGTTGACAAAATTTTTATATCTTTGATAGGTACCGAGATAAATTGGCTTCAAATTAACGAAGATGTGTCAGAAGACTTCCTGGACATTAAGTTTCAGACAAAAAAAATCTGAAATTACAACTTCAGAATCTTTGGTCCTCCCATGCTGCCCATGAAATTGAACTTCAACCGGTCGATTCTATAGGATTTCCTTTTTTGCTTAATCTACTTGTCTTTTTTTTCCGAAACCGGAAACAGATTAGTTTTCAACTTTCCAAACAAACCAAAATTTCGAACTGTCAGTCTGAGCTATGAAATTGTTCTCTATTTTTCTGATATTCGTACTTTTTGTTTTCACAAGCGGAGCCCCGATCGGAGAAGAAGGCTTTGAGGTTTTTGAGATCAACAGTAATAGTGGTAGGTCAAAAAGTGTGAAATGTAAATTTTTTGAAAAAGTTTCAGATGAAAGAGAGCTTATGATTCATGAGGTTGATGTGGATTTCGACGGAGAATCGGAGTGATACCAGGAAATCGAAAAATTGTTTTTTGTGAATCCTGGAATAAAAACATACCTTTTGAATTTATTCTAAAAAATACATACTGAAAAATACAAAACAAGCTCAAAGATCCGATAACAATATATATTATGTCATTTTTTACAATAGAAAACTATGAATAAATACCAGCTTGGATAGAATTTTTGGATAGCAGGCAAATAGAATATGATCCAAATTCCAAACTACGTGTTCTTCATTTTCCTCATTTTTGTAAGCTTTGGCTAACAGGCAATAAAACCTGTAATATGAGTGCCCCCATACTGTCTAGTTTAGGCTCAATTGTCTCGGTTCCTAGGAAAGATATCTAAAATTTGTCAACTGATAAAATATTGGCGATGATTTGATAAGTATTCTATCAGTTGACAACTTTTCAAAGTCTTTGACAGGAACTGAGATAAATTGGCTTGAATTAGGGGCCTTTCTATTACAGGTTTTACGGTGAATCGAATTTTCAGGAAGTTTCTGGAACATCAATTAACTTATCCTCAAATTTATTGAACACTTCCATTCCAAATCAACAAGGAGTAGAATTTAATTATTTCCAAAATCAATTACTTGGCCGATAACAATCGGAATCATTTTCAAACGGACTGCCGAGTTTGGGAGTAGACGTCAGTGTGGTTGGCGATAATTTTGGATCCCTCGCTAGAATCCTAAACCTCCCAAGAGTCAATTTGGAATTCATAGAAAATCTGCTCAAGGATTCTGTAATTGGTGGAAAGTTCATTGGAGACACTGGAAACGACATTTTGAATAGATTGGCGCAAGAAGCTGTATCTAATGGGATCCCATTGACAGATATGTTCGAAATTCAGGATGGTAAGACGGAAGAAGGATTTGGTTGCGTTTGAGATGATTTTTTTCAGGAGTCGTTCATTTGAAGGCGTGAAATGTCGAGAAGATTTTTGACATACCTTAAAACCTGTAATAGAAGGGCCCCCTGACTTTTTAACTTGCCAATTTATTTCGGTTCCTGTCAAAGACATAACAAAGTTGTCAACTGATAAGTTGTTTATCATAATATCAGAAGTCTTTTGTCAGTTGACAAATTCTTGATATCTTTCATAGGAATCGAGATATTTGAGCTCAAACTTTATAGTATGAGGGCCCTTCTATTGCAGGTTTTTCGGTATTTACGAATGAACGATTATAACAAGGATACAGACAATTTCTAAGGAGGCACATTATTTTAGTCTTTAACTGGAAAAAAGCATTCTAGGCATTCCTAGAGGATTCTCAAAATAGTTTTGGTCCGCAATGCGATGTGATGCAGAAACTACGGTACGGTAGTTTAGCTTGTACAGTAATCCACAGAAATTTCTGCAAACATCAAAAGCTTCCCTGCTGCTTTTGTTTAAACAACTTTTCTAAATGGAAAAACTGCCAAAAAATTCAGAAAAACAAAAAAATACATACCGTAAAAACTCTAATAGAAGGGCCCTCACACTGTCAAGTTTGACTTCAATTATCTCAACTCCTATGTAAGATATCAAAAATGTGTAAACTTACAAAACATTATATTATGATAAACATTTTATCAGTTGACAACTTTCTTATTTCTTTGATAAAAATCGAGATAAATTAGTTCAAAGTTGAAAGTTAGGGGCCTTTTTATTAGAGGTATTCAATTTTGGATGAAAACAATAAAACAAAATAACCAAAAATCATGATCATAACAAAAATAATACCAAGCAAGAGAACATCGAAACGGATTAAGACCCCCTCCATATATTTTTATGTCGTGCCTATATTTTGTTTTCTGTTGTCTGGCCTCTCTTTTGGTTCTCCGATGACGCTCGAAATGGTGTATTCGTCATGTTTTCATCGAATGGAACGACATGGAAAACTATCCTTATTCTTGCAATCTACACTTTTATCGTATTAGTGTGTTGGGAGAAATGTGATTGAATTTTTTGCTAAAATTTTTGAAATCCTGATTTTCAGTCCCGAAATTCACTTGGACCGAACCGATAAACCCAAAGTTTTCTACTGAAAGTTCGACAGTTTCAACAACTTCAAAGTCGCCAAAAAAGCTAAATGTCACAATTTATGCGGCCACAACTTATTATCATGATCTTATCAACTCGGATTTCGTTTTAAGAAGATGTCCAGAAATGAAGGTGTGTAAAATAATACTCTAATAGAAGCCCCCCTTTAAGCCAATTTATCTAGGTTGCTATGAGTGATATCGAAAATCTTTCAACTAATAAAATTTTTATCAGGATATCATTAATATTTTTTAGTTGAGACATTTTTGATATCTCTTATGGGTACCGAGATAATTGAGCTCAAAGTGCAAGTATATAATTCTGGAATTCAGAATTTTTGCAAAGTCACAAATAAATTTTCCGACGCCGACACTGCAGATGCATTCGTATTCCATAGCAGGAATTTCTATGAAACAGTAAGTTTCAAATTTCAAATTTTATTTAAAAGAAATTTTCCGAGCCTCACTCTTCCATTGTTGAAAAACATTCGAAAACCCAATGTTCCTTGGATAATTTGGAATATTGAAAGTCCGAGTCATGAGAAGCTTCCTGGAGAAAAAAGTGGGTAAGGTTTTGAATTTTCGTCTGAAAATGTTTGAATTTTTAGATCTATTCAATTGGACAATGACTTATAGGAGGGATTCCGATTTTTCAGCAAGATATGGAGCACTAGAGAAGTTCATTAAGACAGGTAAGGCGCTTTTTCCAAAAACTAAAAAAATCCTAAAAATCCTAAAAATTTTAAAAATCCTAAAAATCCTAAAACCCCTAAAAATCCTAAAAATCCTAAAATCCTCAAAACTAATCAGGATTTCTTACAGAATTTTTTTCCCGACATTTTTAAAACCTAAACCCAATTACTGTATTTTCTCTAATAGAAGCCCACCCAAACCGTCAACTTTGCGCTCAATTATCTGGATTTTTGTGAAAGGTATTAAAAATTGGTCAACTAATAAAATATAGCTGATATTATGATCAACATTTTATCAGTTGACACACGTTTGATATCTCTCATAGGAACCGAGATGATTAAGCTCAAACTTCACAGTGTTGGGAGCCCTTCTATTACAGGTATTACAGTATCTTGAACGACTTATTTACAGCTAACATCTCCCTCGAGGGAATCTGGAAATACAAAAACAAAACCGCCACATGGCTCGGCTCAAACTGTCAAACTCCCAACAACCGATTTCGTCTTGTCCAGCGGATGATCCAGGAAGGTCTAGAAGCAGACATCTGGGGATCATGTGGAAAACCAACCGGACTTTGTGATGGTGTACTCAAACAAACTGAACCGTGTGTTCTCGATTTGATACGACCTTACAAGTTCTATCTGGCTGTTGAAAACTCGAATTGCAAGGATTATGTCACCGAAAAGTTTTGGAAAAGTCTAGAGGATAGAATGGCGGTGCCGATTGTTTTGAGAAGGGAGACAGTTCAAGATCTAGGAGTTCCTGATTCCGCTTACATTGCCGTAGATGATTTCGAAACTCTTGATGAGTTTATACAACATGTGATAAAGGTAGGCAGTGATAAGGAGATGTATCTCAAGTACCACGAATGGAGGAAAGATTATAGGTTGGTCACAAGTAGTGGTTTGATTCTAAAAAACTATAATTTTCCAGAGTGGTATTTGACAACGGTTTCTACGGATGGTGCCAGCTTTGCAAACGACTTCAGGACCCGGAAGAAGTTGGTAGGAATCGAAGATCTTATGAAGATGTGGAAAGGTGGCATTCATTTGAAATGTGCGATGACAATTACACAATAAAGTTTATCACCTAGATGTATTTATGAAAGAATGTGAGAAAAGATGATGGCCTAAATAACTCAACTTGCGAAAGTTAGGCCACCATGTTAAAACGGCTTAAAACCCACCAGGTGAATGTCGAGTCATTTTTAGGTCATAATAGTTGGAGGCCTAGAAAACTCAACTTGCGAAATTTAGGCAAGCATGTTAATATGTTATAGAAAACCCAAAAAGTGACCATTCTTAGGCCAGAAAAAATAGTGACCTAGAAAACTCAAAGTTAGGCCACCATGTTAAAATAACCTTTGAAAGACAAGACTAATTTAGAAACCTCGTATAGTTTATTGATATGTACTTATGAAAATTTATGGTTGAGTTTATGAAATGAAAGAGACGATTTGACGGAAAATTGATCAGCAAACCTGGAGTGAAGAAAGGGTACTGAAAAATCAGTTTTCGAATAAACGAAAAGAAAAGATTTACGACAAACTGTTCACTAAATGCCTCGTTTGTCGTAAAATGAAAAAATCCGTAATTTGAGGCTAAAATGCACGAAAACGGTCGGCGCTCCGAGCGATCGGTCGGCTGGTGGTCGGCTGTTGGTCGGTCAGCGGTAAGCGATTTTTGAACGACCGAAATGGAAGCCTTAAAGAGGATCTAATAGTAAGTTAGAACACACTGTCGATTATTTAGGAAAGAAACAGGATCCATTCTATTTAGCACCCTATCTGTGTTCCATCACTTTTGTCTTCGGAACTTCTTCGAGATCTGTGAACCAAGCACAAGGGCCAATCTTGATGGGCGAATCTTGAAATGTGTTGATTAATCTTCAAAAAAAAAACATCGGGATAATTAAACAGTTATTTATTAGAGAAATCATCATTATTAATAAAATAAATATAAACATTAAATGAGAACGTAATTAATAGTGAAAATAAGTGCATCCGTTTCGTTCGTATCCCTCTGCAGTGTATTGAATTGGCTGAAAGTGGACAGTGTAGTTGGCTGGTAGGTTGAACTGATCTATTGGCATCAGTTGGAATTGTTGGTGTAGCTCCTCCTGGTAGAAGTGATTCTGGATTCCTGGTTGTGGCGACGTCGACACTGATGAGGCTTCAGAAGAAGATGATTGAGTAGAGATAGGAGATTCTGGGTGAATCATACAATCGGCATCAGTATCCTCTCTCTGCTGATCCTTCTTCAATTGCTTCTTGTTTTGGTAAAGTCCTTGAACGTGGATCATAAGCTTTGCCATTTGACGGGAATGCTCATCCAACTCCATTTGCATCTCTTTTGTCCATTGACCGCAACGTGGGAAGTATTTGAAGGAATAGGCAGAAGAAGTAGAAGTAACAGAGGACATTCTTACAGAATAGGTGGTTGAATAAGACAAGAAGAGAGTTGTTCAAGAGTGAGAACGGGTAAGTAATGAGGAATCTGGTGCTACTTATATACAGAATATTAGCTCCGCCCCTTTATCTATTAGTCATCCTCCTTCACCTGGATGAGCTGTAAGATGAGGTGAAGATGACAATTAGGGTTGTAAACTATTTTTTCAGTTTGAGATTGTCATCTAGATTAGGGATGGTAAACCGGATGTAAAGAGAATATTTGGCTGTATGTTATCCTTTGGGAAAAGCTGGGAAATCGGACCTCGCAATATATATTTTTTTCTGAGTTCTATGGATCGAGATGCGAATGTAGCTAGATAAATTTTTTGAATCTTGGTTCAGAATTTGAAATGTCTTCTGACGTCTTTATCATTAAATTTATTGATTTAACCAGCCCACAATTAGTGAACCAACCAGTAAAATTCGGGCTAATAAGTATTAGGTCTTCTTCTACTCGATGTAACAAGCGGCAGGCCGTCTAGAAACCTTTCAATCAGATGGCTGGTGCGCCTTCGGCGCGATTTATTCGTTTTTCTACTTTTCAAACAACAAAAACAACTTGGAATGCTCGAATTTATTCACAAAAACCAATCAATTTTTATAATTTAACAACGAAATTTGCAGGGAATGATTTCGCATTCCCAGAAAAGAAAAATGGAAGAATGATAGGGAGAAAAGGGTACTAGAGCGGGTTTTATAGTTTCGGAGCTAATCGAATAAAGGATGGTTTTGAAGTTTTTATGATCGAGTTTGCAGCGATGGATGGGGTGCTGGGATGGGAGATGGAGGACGTGGAGGTTTCTAGAGTACTGTAGATCAGGATTTTCCTAAAACGCAAAAAATATTTTAAACTACATTCAAAAGAAAAAAAACCTTTAGGGTTGAGCCTCAGGGCTGAAATACTGTAGGTACAGTGATCCTTGAAAATACAATGCAGTTAATTTTGAAATTTTAAAAAAATACGGTAGGTAGGGTACCCAAAATTAATCAAAAAGCAGTTAAACGTTTTTGAAAATACAGTAATCCCCAAAATATTCAAACTTTGAGAATGTGAATTTTTTCTTTGGTTACTGTGCACAGTAACAGTAATCCTTGGAAAATCGAATTTTTTCAAACGGCGGGTTGCGGTAGCTAGCAGTACTCGTAATCCTGGGAAAGCTTCTATTGGAAAAGTTGAATACTGTTACCTACAGTAATCCGAGGAACTACATTTGAATTAATCGCGCCTACAGTAGTTCACAACAGTCGCACTACTACATATGACTACAGTAGCCTAAGTTTTCATACCAAATCAAATGATGAGCAATCACCTAGAAAACCGAGGAATATATCGAACTGTTTTTAGAATTTTGTACAGCTTTTAGAAAATATTGATATACAAAACTTTATTATCCCAAAAAACTAAATTCAACATTTCTCTTTATAACAACGGAACAATTCTTTCAACACATAACCACTTGGACTCTTATCACCCTCCACCAACTCGAATTTGTATCTCAACAGATGCCAAATTCCAGCCACTGCATATCCATGAATTTCAACATCCCCATAAAAGTACGCAGATTCCAGTAGAAGATCTCCAAGCAGAGCCGGATAGAATCGGAGGGAGCTTTTAATAGCTAAATCATCAGTTTTACGGAGGATCACAAAGCCTTCCAACTCACTTTGTGACTTAATGGCAATAAGTTTTTTGAGTAGAGATGAATTATAAGTCTTCTGGCCATATTCCATAAGATCCAGGTGGTTCTGGGTTAGAATTGCGGGATCCAATGCTTCAGAATATCTACTGGACGAACTTCTGACAGATTGGTAGGACTCAATGGAGAAAAAGACGAGGATAAGCGTTACAGAGCGCATTTCAAGAAATAGAAAAATTTTCAAAAAGGAGAATGGGGAAGGAGCTTTTATACGGAAGGATGTAATCGAATTAAAATTGAACTGGGAACGCAGTTGGTGAAAAATGATACAGTAATCCAGGAATATAGGCAATCCATCAGTTTTTTTTCAACAAAAAAATACTCCTGAAAAAAAAATCGTACAACCTGTAATAGAAGGGCCTCTAACTATTAACTTTGAGGGAATTTATCTCGGTTCCTGTAGAAGATATGCCAACGCTGTCAACAGATAAATTGTTTATCATAATATCACAAACATTTAATCAGTTTACACAAGTTTGATATCTCTAATATGCATTCAGATAATTGAGCTCCGACTTGATTAGAAGAAGAAGGATGGAAAATAGGGAAGTCAACTTTTAACTCATATAATATACATCTCGGTTCTTGTAAAAGATATAATAAAGTTGTCAACTGATAAATTGTTGATCATAATACCACAAACATTTTGTCAGTTTACACAAGTTTGATATCTTACACAGGAAATAATATAATTGAGCTTAAAATTGACTGTGTGTGATGGACCTTTAAATAAAGGCTTTACGATATTTCCGTGCATTTGGGTCGAATAACAACCATACTTGTGGAAAAGATGGCGGCCCGCGGGCCGGGCCGGGCCATGGCCGTGCTGAGATTTTTCTGAAGGCGGGTCGGGCCGAGCCGAAAAAAATTACACATGACCGGCCCGCTTTTTGAAAATTTTGAAATTTTAGAGCGAATCATCATCTTTCAAGATGGTTTTTCTTCTTAGTGAATGAAAATCCACACTAGAGGCCGATACTGTCGACAAAAACTGTTTTGAAGTCGTAATTAGAAAATTTTTTCATCCTTGGCTTAATGAAGTTCGATTTTTTTTTGCTAAAAATTCAATGAAATTGACTTTTTCGGATGGTTGTATGCATTTGGATTAATATTTGTGCCATTATAAATATTTTGGCACATTCGAAAAATAAAATTTTCGAAAAGTTGTCCTAGGCGGCCCGGCCCGGCCATCCACATGTATGATAACAACAAATCTGCTGGCCAAAGTTTCGCTCTGTAAACTGTGCAATAGCAAATGTTCACTTTAAAGGTGGGGGGACATGAAAAAAATAATGTTCTCGAAATTCCGTTCAAAGATGCCCCTCAAGGACACAGGTCCTGGGCGATGATGCGCATAAAGGACCCGATCCATATGCGATCCTCTAGAAGTCCATTTGACACATATCGCGAACAACGAGCTGCGATAAGTCTCATATGTGTGCGATGCGGGAGAGGCTGAATCGAGTGTTCCGAATGCGCGCGTATCCTAGATGGATTCTGGGTGGGTGGGCGATGTGTGCGATATGGGTCTGATACGGTAGGCCGACTACAACACTCCGAAATCCCTGATGCGCATTGTTTACCGTAAATCCACACCGGCAACTTTGTCAATTTTTCGTCAATTCGAGCCTACATTTCTGGTTTTTCGATTATTCCTTCGATGTTTTTTGTGAAAAAGAGTTATGGCAGACTAAAAAATCGCTGAATTCTTGCAGAAACATGTCTTTCACTTGTCAATTGCTATGTTTTTCGCCAAAATAGGTGATATTGAGATTTTTAGATTTCACTTTGTAATTATTGTAAAAATCGTATTTTCAGGTGGAGTAAAAGGTAAGTTGGTAAGTATACAATAATTACAAAATTTAAATTATAAAAATTTTCAATTTTTCATGCAATTTCAAAAAAAGTGAAAGTGAGACATATTTTTTGAACAAATGAAAAAAAAACAATTTTTAGCGAATTTTTTCCCATTTTCTTCTGTTTTTGATTGCATATCAAATTTAAATGGAAACTGCCATAAGACTTTTTCAAAACCAAAACATTGAGTTTCAAAAAATCAGTAATATGTCGTTCAAAATATAAAAGAATATGGAATAATAAAGGAAAAGTACGAAATCGGAAGACCTGAACAAAATCACATCACAATAGAACTTAACTGATACTTCTAGGAACCCCCAACCAACGTTTTAGTTCATTTCATCGAGTGCCAGCAAGCCAGGCGAGGAGATGCTTTGCGGCGGCGGTGTGCCCCATATGCCCCGTATATGCCCCATACCGGCGTCCTTTCCCTGTACCCAATTCATCGGCGCGTCCTCCGTCGCCCATCCATTATGCGTATGCGCGCCCAGGACCTGTGGAGTTGAACTTGTGAAGGCGATGATTGAGGGTGCGGCGCCGCTACCGACTGAGCCACGCGGGCAAAGATAAAGTGGACGCCCGATTGCATACATAAAGGCGAGGACGACAGCTGTACGCAGAGTGACATTAAGCGTTGTACACCGTGACGGTAGAATGCATACTCTAGCTACAAAAAAACTACGAAAAATCTCCTGTCCCCCCACCTTTAAAATCTGGTTTCAAACATTTTGAGCCCCTTATCGCCTTATTTTGGTCCTGCATGTGTGGCCCGAAATCAAACTTGGATTTTTTTCGCCATGATTTTAAGGCGATACATAACTTTGTCAAACATTTTGATGCAATAGAAACTGTTGGTCGGAGTTCCCGTCCAAATAATTATCTCGATCATATAAGTTCTCTCCGACGCAAACCGTCATAACAAAAAAACAGTTATCATCAAAATTAATGACTGTTTTCACACCGCCGTGACTTTGGATACTGTAGCTGGTATTGTAACAGGCTGGTATTGATTAAAAACATGCTCAATTTTGGTAAAATTGACAGATTTTCATGAATTCTGAACGGAATTCGTCGAATTTTTCGAGGAAAAATTTCCGAAAAAATGGTCGAAGAAATAGAAGGGTCTCCTCTAATTGAAGGGCCCTTGTAATAGAAGCGCCGGCCCTTCTTAAACAGGTTTTACGGTAGGTTTAAAAAATATCGTTTATATTTTCATTTAGAGACAATAAAGCAAGTTATTTATATTTCGGTCGATCCACTGAGACGGTCATTCTCGATGCTGGTGTAGATTCTAAAATATCAAAATTCAAATCTCATACCCTATAACCCAATTCTCACCAGACTTCCTTTCCTGCGAACTCGACAAGAATCCCGAATTCCTATACGCCAACAATCTGCTCTTATCAGACGTACTCCTTCTTCTAATCAATCCTCTTCTCAGAATCGATCTCTTCTCCTTCTCCAACGTCTTATTCATATGATTATCATTGATTGCTTCTTGTTCTTCTCCTTCCGCGCAATGTGTCCACCAATCGTCGCCAGACACTTCGTCTCGTACTCCCTCGATCAACACTTTCGGCTGATTCCATCCGTTGCAGATCCGTCGGACAGCCGTTCCGCTGCCACGGCGGACTACGAGAACTTTGCCCGCTCCATCGCCTGGAACATAAGTCAGAATTTTGAATAGAATGTTCTGGGTGGACTAACCTAAAAAAGAGTTCGATATAACATAAGGAGAACTCTCAAAAGTGACCTTCTTGAGACGTGGTTCACTCGTCCTGGAGGACATAGAGATAGCAGAGAGCTGAAACTTGGAAAATCGGCGATTCTAGAAAATGCTGAATTGCCTAACCTTCATTGCAACCTCCTGCTCCTTCGGATCACAACACGACGAAGCTGGGGAGTCATCTCGCCTTGGTGTTGTGCTCTCATTGCTCATTTGACTACATGACCGCCCACTTTCATCAGTTGCACTACTTCCAGCCATCACTTGAAATACAGAGGAGCGAAGGGGATTATCTGGAAACACAAGTTCAAGCTCATAATGGATTTTCAAGCCTACCTGCCCTGCCACGTGGCTTTCTTCCGTTGACTGTAGCTGCTGACGCGGGCGGTGAAGCGTATCTGGCGCTAGAACTGAGGGCTGAGCTTGAATTGGAAGTGATTAGTGACAGTGGAGCACTGTACTTAATTTGCAGATGCTCCGGTTTGGTGTCTTTTTTATGAGCCGCCTAAAAATTGGATGATGGCCTAGAAAAAGCTAGGCCGCCGTTCTTACGGTATTCTGAGATTTGGCAGCACTGGCTGGAATAGGGACTGGCAGGTGGCTTTTTGTTCCGCGTCTCATAGTCTTTATTGGTTCCTTTTTTCTGGAAATGAAGAAATAATTTCAGACCAATCCGAAAAATCCTAGAATCCAGAAATCCCTAAATTTTATCTTCGAGACAATTTATCTCGGCTCTTGTAAAACATATGAAAACTGTGTCAACTGATGAAATATCGGTGACGTTATGATAAAAAATTTAGCAGTCAATAACTTTTTTATATCTTCGACAGGAAATGAGATATACAGATTCAAAGCTGACTGTGCCCACCCTGAACACCGCCTATCCCTTTACACACACTTTGAACTTAATTATCTCGGTTCCTGTAAAAGATATCAAAAATGTTTCCACTGATAAACAGTTTTTATCAGTTGACAAGTGTTTTATACCTCTCATAGAAACAGAGATAATCGAGCTCTAAATGTGTTTAGGGTGGGCTTGGTTCAGAGTAGGCATTGTCAAACTTGAATTCATTTATCTTGGTTCCTGTGAAAGATATTGAAAATGTGTTAACTGACGAACTATAGGTAATCTTATGATTAATAATTTATATCTTGACATCGTCTTCTACAGGAAATGAGATTTATGAGCTCAAAAATGACTGTACCTCCCATCCTCTTTCTTCGGTCCTCCTCCTCCTTCTTTTCCTTCGTCTTTCTTCTGATTTCTCCTTTCTTTTCCAGAATCTTCTTCAACGTCTTCCTTCTTTCCTGCTCTTCTTCTCAACGTCTTCTGTTTCCCACCTCCTTCTTCCTCTTCTGAATGCCGTTCTCCTCTTTTCCGTTCTTCCACTGCTCTAACTACTCCTCCACGTTTTTTTGTCTCTTTAGATTCTTCCCCTCCGAAAGCCATTCGTTTACTTCTACTCAAAGGCGGAGGATCACTTTCTGTATCATTCCTGGTCAGGGGAGCTCTAGAAGACGTCGCCTGATGATTCGGCTCCCTTTGAAGCGGTGCATGCTGATTGTGATGATGGTTGTCTTGAACCCATTTCGATGCTCTCGCACTTCCACGACTTCTTCTATCGGCTAATCGGTTATTTGGATGGACCGAAGAAGAGCAAGACTCGATTTGTTGAGCCAATTCGTTGGTGATCACCACGTCGTCGGAGAGGAGTTGTGGCCTAAAAGCAGCTGGTTTATCATCTCCTAATGGGTAAAGAAGAATAGGTGTGCGCGTGGCCTAGATGGTTTCGTGCAGTTTTTGATTCTAGAGGTCACAAGTTCAAAACCTCTGGTGGGCTAATAAGCTTTAAATTTCTTTTTCTTCTTGTTTTTAGGAATCTCACCTCGGTAAAAGTCGATAATCCAACAATGGAGACTCCACGGAAGCTATAGAATGTCTTCTATGTTTTCTGGAATGATGATGAGAAGAAGAAGAGCTCTTCTCCTGAGTATTGTCCTTTTTGGAGACGTTCAACAGTGCGAAATAGAAAGCCATAGAATAATTTCTAGATTTCCAAACAGAAGCTTCTCGAGAAATGTAAAGTTATGAAAATCGGGAGAACCAAGAGCAAAATCCAGCGAGCCATGCGCGGATTGCTCCCCTGGGAGAATCTTTCATTCCAATTTTTTGGCAGATGAACACACACGCACATACACAAAATTTCTCTCATTCCTTTTTTTTTTGAAAAGTGGGCGTTTTCTACTTTTTCCCTTTCTTTAGAAGTTCTTCTCCAACTCAATCTGTCAAGCCAGTTTGCGCGGAGAATCGCGCGCATTGTACGCAATTGCGTGTCAGAGTGTGCCTAGTGTACGCAGACACAAAGTGAAATTTGGCATAAAATCTATTCTTTTTCAGTGATTTTTAACCATTTTAACTGAATTTTTGCGAAATTCTCGAATTTTCTTGCTGAAAAACGGATATTTGTCAATTTTTATCGTTTTAGAATGGCGGACGCTTCTGCCGGAGGTCTTTATCAATGTCTCACTGATATTGCTCGTGCGGATACTAGCGGTGACTACCAAAAGGCTTTGCAAGCTGCGAATAAGTGTAAGTATGAAGAAAATAGGTTTAAGATAGAATTTTAATGTAAAAATCGCAAAAAATATATCGAAAAATCCGTTTTCAGTGATTCGCAAGTACCCAAAGGAGACATTTGCCTTCAAGTGCAAGCTTGTCGCTCAAATCCAGCTCTCACAATGGGCCGATGCTCTCGAGCTTATTCGCAAGACCCCGGCGCATCAAATGGGGTGGGAAAACTCGCAATTTTTCAAATTAAAATCAATAATTCCAGACACGTTGGTTTCGAAAAAGCCTACATCCACTATCGCCAGGGAGAACTCGATGAAGCTGTGAAGGAGCTCAACACCTGTGAAAAGGACGATATTCGCGCTCAAGAACTCAAGGCTCAGATATACTACAAGCAGGAGAATTTCAAGGATGCCTATGATATCTATCTCTACTTGCTTAAAAATCATTCCGACGATTCCGATGAATTGAGAAGAGCCAATTATCTGGCTGTTCAGGCACGTCTGGAGGCTCAGGGAACTAAGCAACAGGTCGAAGACGCCGAGGACTCGTACTCCCAGCTTTATAACAAGGCTTGTGTCGAGATTGAAGCCGAGAAGTTGCCACAGGCTCTGGCTAGTCTAGAGAAGGCTCTAGTCTCTTGCCGCAAATCTCTCGAGGACGAGGACCGTGAAGAGGAGGAAATTGAGGAGGAGCTGGATTCAATCCGTGTCCAGAAGGCCTACGTCCTCCAACGAATGGGCAAGAAATCGGAAGCTCTGGAGATCTATCAGAAGGTTCAATCAGCTAAGTAAGTATTAATTCTTACACCCTTTTAACCCTTTTCGCAAGGAATTCCAGTCATTCGGATGAAAGTGTGAAGGCAACCATCACCAACAACATTCCAGCGGCTTCTAGCGATTTCGCTCTCGCCGACTCGAGAAAACGATTCAAGGCTGCTCTTCAAATAGACCAAAGCAAGTTGACCCGCCGTCAACGTAGAACTTTGATGCTCAACAACGCGCTTGTTCTTTTGATGTCAAATCAAAGAGAGCCATGTAAAAGAGCCCTCGAGGAGTTGGTTTCGAAATTCGGAAGTTCTAAGGATGTCGCTCTGATTGAGGCTACACTTCATGTCAAATTGGGAGATACTGAGAGTGCTTTGAAGGTATCATATTGCTTTTTGGGCTTTAACGAACTAAAACTAATCCAGGTACTCGAAGGAAACGACCTGGAAACTTCTGTCGCTCGCCTTCATGTCCTTCTCAATGCCAATCGTCTCCCTGAAGCCATCAAGGCTATCCGTGCTCTTTCGAATGCCTCAAGCCTCGGACCATCTTCTCTTCTGACCTCCACTCTGATCGCTTCGGATTCCAAGGATGAAGCCATCAAGGCTCTCACCTCAGCATCCACTGCTAAAAATCAGTCTTCTGAGAATCTCAAAGCCATTCTGGAGGCTCTTGTGGAAGTTGAACAAGGACGTGGCGATGAGAGAGCTGCCACGAAAAATTTGGAAAAACTCGTTGAGAAGTTCCCAGATGACTTGCAACTGCAGTGCAGACTGGTTGGTGCATACTCGAGAAGCGATCCGAAAAAGGCGGAGGCATTGAGCTCGAAACTGTTCCCAGAATCGATGGAAGTCGATGTGAATGTGGATGAGTTGGAGGAATCGGATTGGATACTGTACGGAGAGAAGTATCGTCAGAAGAAGGAGGCAAAGTCGCCGGCTGCGCCAGACGCCGAGATTATCACTAGAAAGTTGAAGAATACGAATCGAAAGAGGAAGATTCGCCTTCCAAAGAACTACAATCCAGATGTGGCTCCAGATCCGGAACGTTGGCTTCCACGGCAAGAGAGATCCACGTACAAGAAGAAGAGGAAGAATCGGGAGAGAGAAATCGGGCGAGGAACTCAGGGTTCGTCGTCGGCGAATCCGAATGTTGAGTTCGTCTCGGCGTCTCCAAATTCGCCGCGCCCACTTCCAGGACCAGTCGCCGAAGGACCACGTCAACAACGCCCGAACTTCCAGAAGCAAAAGAAGAAGAAGGCGTCGAAATTCTAACTTTTTAATGGAAAATTGGTTGTGTACCCAGATATTTATTGCCTTTTTGTATTCGTTAATTTCTTGAATTTTAAGATCATAATATAGAAATCTTTATTTAACTGAACTGAAAATTAGCACCTTTTTGGACAAAAATTAGGGAAAATGCTGACTGAGCAAAACAAAAAAAGATGACAAAATTCATAGGAAAACGACTCGTAATCGAGAATGGAAAGAATTTGAGAAATTGTTTTTTTTAATGGCCTAACTTTTTTATTTTTCTAGGCCAGGGTTAGCTGGGTGGATTGAAATTGATATAGTTGGCGTCGTCGCACTCCATTTGATTCTGATACATGACTTGATTGTAATCTGGTTGATTTTGGGGTTGGGACTGTTGAGGTGTCATGTATTGGGGTGGCAAACTGTTGGTTTTGCACAGTGGTTCGTGTTGATTCGTGGATGGCATTTGGCCAAAGGAGCCAGACTGTTGGGGCATTCCGGGTTGGGGGTACCCATTGGCGCCGTTTTCACCGTACGCGTGGCCGTTGGCGCCGTTTTGGAATCTGAAAAAAATCTGGGGTTTCTAGGCCAGAAAGGCGGGGGACTAGATTTTGAGTTGGGGTTTCTAGTCCACTTCCAGGGGTGTTCGGAACGGATTTTTTTTTCGAATTTAGAGCTTTTTGGACTACTGTGTGTCTAGGGCGCACGCAAAACTTCTTTGCAGGTCTCGAGCTAGTTTCAGGGCGCGTTGCGGTCGAAAATTCGACTGTGGGCGGAACTAAGATTCGATAGCGAAATCATTATAGGAGGCGAGACAGCAAAAATTTCGGGGGCAGTTCGGGGGACGAAATCGCGCCGCGCTTATGTAGACCATCGGTCGTCAGGCGCCTTCGCGCCCCCGTAGCTCAGCCGGTAGCGGCGCTGTACCCCTGAGCTGCCTGTCATGAGTTCAACCCCTCATGGGGGTTCTCTATGCAAAATATCAGGAAAACTTTTTTTTGTGTCTGGCCTCCTTTAAAGGCGCATTTAAAGGAGCATGTATTTTTGGAATTATTTTCTGGCCTATTTTTTTCGTTTTTTCGATGAATTTTATGGAATTTTTTATAATTTTAGTTGTTTGTATACCATTTTTCGAATTTTTTTTCGGATTTTGAAAAAAATAAAATCCCAAAAATTGCGAAAAAATATGATATAAAAACGAAAATTATAAAAAAATCAACGAAATATTTTCGAAACATCGAAAACATGAGCTAGAAATTAATCACGAAAATACATGTTACTATAAGTGTGCCACTAAGCTCCGCCCACCCTCGATTTTCGTGAAAAGTGGCGGAGTCAGGGGCGGAGCGTAAGTTGCACGTCTTTTTTCCTTTGAATTAGCGAGACCACAAAATCACCGCGATGAAAAATTTTCAAAATTGGAATATTTCGAAATTCCGAAGTTTTGAAACTCGGAAATTTCCGAAATTCTGAAAATTCTGGAGTTTCAAAATTGGAAAATCCGAAAAAATCCCGAAATTTTCAAACTCGGAATATCTCGAAATTCTGAAATTTCGAAAATCGGAATTTCTGAAAATTCCGAACATTTCAGAATTGGGATATTCCGAAATTCCAAACTTTTTAAAATTTGAAGATTCCGAAATCCCAAAAAACCCCTGATCCCTAGACCACTCCTTACCTATCATACGACGTTGTAGTAACCGTGAACTTGTGTTTCGTACTCTCCACAGTCGAAATATAAAACATTGGCGCGGTTGTCGGTGACTGTGGATGTTGCATCGAATCCCTTCTCTCCATGTTCGGTGTCATTCCTCCATTATTCTGCTGCTGCTGCTGGACGTCATCTATTTCCATACCACCGCCATGAGCAACATTCATCGCTTGACGCATGTCTAGAACTGAATTCATGGATTAGGTGGGGTTCAGAAGCTTCCAGAAGCTTACCTCCGTACATGTCTGGTGTGATTGTGACGTTGTAGTCCGGATCACATTCGGCCATTTCGAGATTTGGCATCGACGACGCGCCGTTGAGAGAGACACCAAAATCGTTGACTTGAGCTGGGAGAGAGTTACAGGACAAACTGAAAATGTATCGTTTTATGCAAAAAACATCCCCAAAACTCACTTATACGGTAGCGTGCCAATTTGATTCTGATATGACGCCGCTGTATCCGATTGATAGGAATTCAGGCTCTCTATAGAACTGGAACTCGACGAGTGCACCATTCTTGGCTCACTGTGTCTTCTAGCCAGACCATTCGACTGCCCCAGTTGCTCATCCTGTGACGTGTGTCCATTGATAGGGGGTGATGGGGAGGTGTCCATGGATCCTTGTGGTGGGGATCCGTTGTTCGGGGAATGCTCAACCTTCGGGGCCTCCTGGAGAAGATCATGCACTAGACGATCGTTCATTTGTCCGAAGCTGTCCACGAATGAGAGATTCTCCATCACAAGTCTTCCGAGCATCATTACGGATGGAACGAAGAGTAGGAGATTTCCGAATCTGCTTGATGCAACTTCTTTTGGATGGGTTTCACGGACTACGTGGTAGAGGGTCTCTTGGATGCGATCACGAAGATCCATGATGGCTTCGGAGCCGTCTTGGGTGAGGGTTTTGAGGTCTGTAAAGAAATTAATAAGTGGATAATTATGTTTAGGAGGTTTGACCTCATTTTTTTGGTAATCAAACTGATAAGAATTACGAAATCATACCGTAACTCCTCTAATAGAAGGGTGGGCTTCTATAAGATATTTTGTCTTTTTCAGTGAAAAATGGTCAAGTTAAGTCTAGAAAAAGTAATCCAGGATTTTTCAATTTGTCTAAAAAATTCAAAATCTGCAGCTATTTTTAACCAATTTACATTCTGATGAAATATGCCGTCTGCAACCAAAAAATCCTTAAAAGTACCAAAATGCCAAAATTAGCACTATTATAAGATATGGCATATTTTAAAGCGATTATCTCGCGTCCTTGGATTTATACGTAAAAGTTGTCAATTACAAAACCGAAGCTCTATTTTTGTTTAGTAAAGTCTGGAATTTTAAGACAAATTGAAATATTGTAAGCTACTTTCGTAAGACTTCAAAGTTGACCATTTTTCACAGAAAAGTCAAAACATGAAGTATTTTTGTTCTGACCTTTTTTTTGTTTGAAATCTTTTGAAAACTAGACGAAATTCAGCAGCTTTTTTAGTTGCGAAAACTACAGTAACCCAACTTACATGGATTCAATACAACGATTGCCTTCAGAAGAGTAATTTCTTCTTCCTTCAAATTCATTTTCCTCAATGGATCAATGAGTTCGTCAATGCAACGTTCGGCTAGTTGATTTCCGAAGTGGCTGGAAGAAAACGAAACTCAGTTTTTTTTCAAAAAAAAATACCCTCCCCAAACTCACTATGGCTCGGCCCACGAGTTTGGTGCATATCTTGCAATATAGCCAAATGTACTCAAGCACACAATATCTTGCTGCTTATGACGAGCCGTGTTGGCACACAGACTGAAAATCATCAATGGTCCGTAGCTAGCCTTGACGATGGCAACCTAAAGAGAATGAAGGTTTTTGAAAAGCTTCTAGAAGAGTTATCACTTTATCATCCATATTATTGACATCCATCATATCGAACAAATGATCAGCCCAGTCGATCATGGCAATCAATCTTCGATGAGCAATACATGGAAGCTCTTCAGGATTGATTTCTCGAAATGCCTCATATCTCATTTCGGTTCGTTTTCCATCTAATAGCGTCGGATCTTCTAACAACTGCTTGATCGATGTGGCAAATGGTAATGGATAGATCTTTGATGGTTCAGTATGCCCATCACCTCCTCCAACGATTAGGTCAATATTTAGAAGTTGCATGAGAGTAGTTCTCATATCAACTGGAAGTTTTCTCATCCATTCTGCATCTACCTCCCCTTCGTCTTCTGCTGACAACTTTGATCTTCGTTGCCTTCCTTGGTAGTGGCGGCCGGTGGCGTCGCGGTCGGGGCGGACGGCTTTAGGGTCCATACCAACTTCGATGCATTTTTTGAAACGACAGTATCTGGAAGATTATAAATTTTTGGGTAGAGTAAATTCTCGAATAGAAAGGAACTATCCCCATAGAAGCCCGTGCATTTTAAGCTCGATTATCTCGTTTCCTAAAAAAGATATCAAAAACCTGCTAACGGATAAATTGTTCATTATAATATGACCCATATTGTATCAGTTGATAAATTTTTGATATCTCTCATAGAGATCAAGATAAATGGGCTCGAAGAGCACGCTCTATTTCAGCGTTTTTTTTTGCAATGCATGTCTACCCCTTGACCTTTATTAACTCGGTTCCTATAAAAGATATCGAGAATTTGACAACTGATAAATTATATATTGGTAACAATATGATAAACATTTTATCAGTTAACCACTTTCCAATATTCTATTAAAGAACCGAGATAATTGAGCTCAAAGGGTGTTCTCCTATTAGATCATTCTCAATGGAGCACCTTTTCTAAACCAAAAAAATTACCTGCACGAATTCCTCTCATGCCTATCCACAACACAATTTCCATTGTGTCGACATGCGTACTCCGAGGGTCGTTTCAGCGTTCGTCTGAAGAATCCTTTGCATCCGAAGCACGTCACCACACCGTAGTGCGTCTTTGCGTTACCGTCTCCGCATACACGACACGTGTCACTGGAACCTGGAAATTTGTATTTTTTGTGTTGTGAATGGAACGTATTTGTTTTGAAAAATACAGCAAAATTCGAGATTGTCCAAATTCGGTGGTCCTTAAATGTAGCTAGAACTTACCGCAAAACCTTTAATAGAAGGACCTTTCAACTTTTCGAGCTTTTAAACTTCGAGCCATTTTATCTCGGTTCCTATGAAACATACAAAAAAGTTATCAATTAATAAAGTGTTTATCATAATATCAGAAACATTTTATTAGTTAACAACTTTCTGATATCTTTCACAGAAACCGAGATAAATTGTTTCAAACCCGCCGTGCCGCTGAGCTACGATTGCGCCAGCTGAGGCGGCCCCCTGAAACTGTCAAATTTGAGCCCAATTATCTCGGTTTTTGTGGAAGATATGAGAAAATTGTCAACTAATACAATATTGCTGATATTATGATTAACAATTTAGCAGTTGACAATTTTTTGATATCTTTCATAGGAGTTGAGATAATTGAGCTCAAACTTGACAGTGCTCATTCAGACAAATTTAGCTTATTGTAGACGTTTTGAAAATCTTCGAAACTTGGAAAAACAAGCGTTGCATTCGCGTTCATTGAAAAAAAAACTATCTTCCTTATTAATAAAACGCTAGAGGCGTCTGTTCGTCCAAATAGAGACGAACATTTGAAAAAATAGGGTGAATCGCGCCGAAGGCGCACCAGCTGGTTTAAAATACAAAATTTTGAATTTCAGTAGAGCGAATTTGCCCACGACTCACCAGAATGTGTTGCTATCTGACTTAACGACGATTTTCGGGAAATCGATGCAGCCATATTTTCCAAACTCGATGTGTCAACTTTTCCCATTTTTAATCTGCAATTTTAAACAATTTTAATAATTCATTTTTTTCTCCAGACTACGATAATCTGGACACATACACACAGGTCGTATCGGAATGCAGGATAAAGATGTCAAAAGGAAAAAGAGACGAGAGATAAGAGAGAACAGAGACATAGACAGATAAGATTGATTGGGAAGATGGATGGATGGAAAGAATGATAAGAAAAAGGGGAAAGGATGATAATATAGAGATAGTGTGGATTTGAGAAGAGACGCAGACGGAGAATAAATTTATGATTGGATGGAAAAGGGTACAAAGTGTATGGGCAAATGTGGACACTTCTTTTTTTCTGGTTGGAATGAAGAGAAGGAGATCTTATAGGGGGAGATGTGATATGTTCTTTGGTACAAGTTTTTTTGTTGTAGAGAGGGTGCAAGAGGAATTTAGAATCTCAGAATTAATTTACATTGAGCTCAATTATTTCAATTCCTGTATGAGATATCGAAAATCTGTCAACTGATAAAACACTGGTGATATTATGATGAGTAATTTATCTGTTGATCACTTTTTGATATCTGTCACAGGAACGAGGTAAATTGGCTTAGAAATATTTTCAGATTTTACAATTTTCAGAATCTCAAACTCTAAAAAATCTGAATTCAAATTTTTCTGACGACGTCAACCGTGAGAATAGCAGTTCAAAATATCTAAATCTTGATTTCATTTAGTCTCAAAAATTCAATTCCCTTTTGACGTCAATCAAGAATTCGCTAGCTCAGAGAAATTAAAATTAGAGTATTTCGGTCAGGAAATTAAAATCAGAGTATTTCAAAATCTGAATTTCTGAGTTTCTGAACTTCTGAACTTCTGAATTTCTGAATTTCAGAATTTCAGAATTTCAGAATTTCAGAATTTTAGAATTCAGAATTTCGGAATTTTAGAATTTCAGAATTTTAGAATTTCAGAATCTCACTATCAGAATCCCAGAATCCCAGAATCCCAGAATCTCGGATTCTCAGAATCTCGGATTCTCAGAATCTCAAAATTTCAGAATCGCAGGATCTCAGAATCTCGGAAGCTAAGAATCTCAGAATCCCACAATCCCAGAATCCCAGAATCTCAGAATTTCTGAGTTTCTAAATTTCAGAATCTCAGAATCTCAGAATTAAGAAATCTCAGAATCTCAGAATCCCAGAATCTCAGAATTTCTGAGTTTCTAAATTTCACAATCTCAGAATCTCAGAATTAAGAAATCTCAGAATCTCAGAACCCCAGAATCTCAGAATCTAAGAACCTCAGAATCTGAATTTCTGAAATTTAGAAATTCAGAGAAAAAGTAAGCAAAAACTAATAAAAGAAACATAGAGAGTGAGGAAACGAGAGCGTGACACACATTTTTATCACTTTTTGGGAGTGGAAAAAAAGAGGTAAAAGAGGACGAATGGAGAATTGTTTTGTTATCAAAAAAAAGGAATCGCATACGAAACGAATGGAGAAGAAAAGAGAAAAAGACACATTTTCCCACGGGTTATTCATTGAATTCGAAAGTTTGTTCAGTTCAATTGCAGCTATTTTTGGGGTTTCTAAATAAGGAATTTTTCGAAAAATAGCCTTTTTGTTGTTATTCAAATTTCCTTTTTCGAAAATAGAATTTAAATTTATTGAAAAATGGTTCAATTGGAAAAAAGAGAAAGAAACTTCTAATCGGATTTGTGTCGAACAAAGGCGCGACTTTAAAAATCAAACTATCAATTTCAGAACTTTTTGCAGCCAAATAAAGTGAGAATGGAGCACATTTTCTTCTATTTAGCGGAAAAAAATCAATTGGAGGAAAAGGGGTGCTAGAATGAGAATGGATTTGCATAGGAAATGATGTCGGTGTCCCCAATTTTTGCAGCTTTTTTTGGTTGGAGGAGGAGAAGAGAGAATGGAAAAATAGGGTTTCAACTGTGGTGTACTAGTATTTTTGCAGAGATTTTCAGCTTGGGTGGATTCGGAGAATATTTTCAAAATTTTGGTATTTTGATATACTGGATTTTGCGGTCTCGAAGTTTCTTAGAATCCCAGGACTTCTGAATCTCAGTATTTCAGAATTTTAAAATCTCAAAATCTCAGGATCTCAGAATCTCAAATTTTCAGAATCTCAGAATCTCAGAACCTCAGAATCTTAGAATCTCAGAATCTCAGAATCTCAGAATCTCAAAATCTCAGAATTCCAGAATCTCAGACTTTCAGAATCTCAGAATTTTGGATTTTCAGAATTTCGGAATCTCAGAATTTTGGGATTTTCAAAATTTCAGAATCTCAGAAATATTTTTAAATAGAGAACTTTGATAAAAATAAGAATCAAATTTTTTTTGAAAATTCAAAAAACATATTCCTCAATTGTCGTAGAATATATAAATATTAAATTTAGACATTTCGAAAAATTGGATAATTAGAATTTTAAGATTTGGAAAAAATCGTTAGATCCTTTTATTATACCGTATGTGTTATAACATTAGCATACTCAACCTATACGTGCAATTTGATCCTAATTAATTAGGTTCCTTTAAGAGATATCAATAAAATGTCAACTGATAAATTGTTTATCATAACATCACCTACATTTTATCCCTTTTTGATCCCTTTTTGATATCATTGAAAACAACCGAGATAATTGAGTTTAAAGTGCACGTATATGACAGGCTTCTATTAGAGCAAATACAGTAATCGGGATTCGCAGGTACTACAGTATAAAAATTCCAAAAATCAAGAAATCTGAGATGCAAAGATTCCAAAAATATTCCAAGTTATCCAAAAATCCCGTATCCTAAGATCCTGAGATTCTGGATCTTCGGAACATCTAGCCATAAATTCTCATATCTAGACCTAATTAATAAATCAAAAAGAGACAGAAAATCAGTAGGCTACTAGGGCAAAATGACAACAGAAAGAGAGAGAGAGAGAGAGAGAGAGAGAGAGAGAGAGTCCGTATTCCTTCCTTTCTGAACAGGAAATGAGATCTTTGGGAAAAAAACGGAAGACTGATAGTGAGAAATAGTACGGAAAGATGAAAGAGTGGTTAGAGAAAAGGGCTAGAGAAAAAAAATTATGATAAGAATATATAAATTTTGCACTGGCAAGTAGAATAATTTAAAAAATAAAGAAGAGCTCTATGAAATGGTTTATACACCCCCAAGACAAAAAGAAAAATAAGAGAGATGGACTAGGGAAAAAAACAGGGACCCGAAAAAAAATTTTTTTTCGGAAAAAGAGGGCACTACACTACTCCAAAATAATGGCTAGTCTGTTTGAAGGGAAATTGGNNGCCCCGATGAGAAAAAAGAAAATGGAAGAAGAATTGGAGGAAAANANAAGGAAGATGTTTTTATGTTTTTCTCCTCCTCATGTCTGGTGGGAATCACAGGAAGATGGAGGAAAGGATCAGTGTAATATGGAGAGGTAGCGGCAATAAAAAATTGATGGATTGGGTGGCCTAGAAAAACACAAGGACGTGGCCTAGGTTTTCAGAAAAATTCTAGAAAGTTTGAAGTTTGGGGTTCTGAGATTCTGAGATTCTGAGATTTTGAGATTCTGAGATTCTGAGATTCTGAGATTCTGAGATTCTGAGATTCTGAGATTCTGAGATTCTGAGATTCTGAGATTCTGAGATTCTGAGATTCTGAGATTTTGATATTCTGAGATCTTGAGATTCTGAGATTCTGAGATTCTGAGATTCTGAGATTCTGATATTCTGAGATTCTGAGATTCTGAGATTCTGAGATTCTGAGATTCTGAGATTCTGAGATTCTGAAATTCTGAAACTTTGAGGTTCTGAGATTCTGAGATTCTGAGGTCCTGAGATTCCAAGGTTCTGAAATTCCAAGATTCTGAAATTCCAAGATTATGAGATTCTGAGATTCGGAGGTTTTGAGATTCTTAGATTCTGAGATTCTACAGAAAATGGAGTGGCCTAGAAACCCAAAATGTAAAACTAGGCCACAGTTCAACAAACGATTTGCTACTGAACCTCGTCCCCTACATTACAATAAGCCTCTAGCATCCAAACATGAAAATCAGCATAATCTGGTCTAGTTTTTTTGTTCTCTGTCTGCCTATCACTACTTCTGTCATACGACATGATTTTCTCGATTTCTCTAACCACCCTCTCGATTTCCTATACTATTTCTCTCATTTTCTTATTAGTTAAGAGGTTATAAGGTTCAATATGTTGATAATCATGGTTTTTTTGGAACCGTTGAAAAAAAGAAAATTGCGTCAGACATCAGATGGACAATAAAAGAAATTGACAGATTTAGACTTGTATAAAAATAAATACACACAGTTAGAATTGAATCATATGGGAATCAAAAAATATGAGGAGGCCAAAAAACGTGATTATGATGGTACATGTGGTCTTCACATGTACAGTAGATTCTCACGATGTTTAAGGGGGTAGATCAGTGATAAAATTTGGGAAATGGGATATTTAAAAAAAAGTACATTTTGTTTGAAACAGATCTTTGGTTCTAAATTTCCAGAAATTCAGAAATTCAGAAATTCAGAAGCTCAGAAATTCAAAAATTCAGAAGCTCAGAAATTCAGAAATTCAGAAATTCAGAAATTCAGAAGCTCAGAAATTCAGAAATTCAGAAATTCAGAAACTCAGAAATTCAGAAATTCAGAAATTCAGAAATTCAGAAATTCAGAAATTCAGAAATTCAGAAATTCAGAAATTCAGAAATTCAGAAATTCAGAAATTCAGAAATTCAGAAATTCAGAAATTCAGAAATTCAGAAATTCAGAAATTCAGAAATTTAGAAATTCAGAAATTCAGAAATTCAGAAATTCAGAAATTCAGAAATTCCGAAATTCAGAAATTCAGAAATTCAGAAATTCAGAAATTCAGAAATTCAGAAATTCAGAAATTCAGAAATTCAGAAATTCAGAAATTCAGAAATTCAGAAATTCAGAAATTCAGAAATTCAGAAATTCAGAAATTCAGAAATTCAGAAATTCAGAAATTCAGAAATTCAGAAATTCAGAAATTCAGAAATTCAGAAATTCAGAAATTCAGAAATTCAGAAATATTATGATTTTCAAATTTTTGAATCAAAAAAATGTACAGTTTATAATTTTCCTGCTTTGAAAAATGCTAATTTGTAATTTTTCAAAATTAACTTTAGAATCAATTTTACTTTTCCCAATTTTTTCCAAAACTCGAAAAATCTAATTCTTGAAAACTTGAGAAACTCTTTCTCTATTTTCACATTTTTTGGAACATGACACAAAAAAAAAAGATTAATGATTTTTGAAGGTTACAAATCTTTTGTGTGTATTTATGAAATCAAAAAACTATGACGTCAATTTTTTTTTCGTGGAGAGGATATGAGAGAGAAACAATTGTTTATGAAAGAAAAAGCGATGAGTCAGAGATGTCCAAATTTTTAGATTTCAGATTTCAGGGACCAATTTTAAACAATCTACGATTTTGGAAATTATAAAAAATCACTAGAAGTAGTCTCATGCATTATTTAATAAAAAGATTTCTTCCAGAATATGTTAATTTAGTAAAAATTGAAAAATAGAAGTTTAGCACCATAAAAAAGTTTCCCATAATAAAAAAAACCGAACCGATTATATAAAAAAAAGAAGTAAAACGGAAATTGAAAAATAGAAAGGAAAGAAGGAAAAACTCTTTTCCCTCACACATACTCTTTTTTTTTCTCTCTCTCTCTCTCTCTCTCTCTCTCTCTTTTCCTCCCGTTGAGCTTAAACATGTGTGCTCCGATTGTCTGGCGTCTCTCACGTCCTTTTCACTATCTCGCTGCTCTTCCTCAATTTTGCAAAAAATTCTCTGCGTCTCTCACTCTCTATCTCTCTAGTTGCGAAATGAAAAAGAGAATGAGAATTGTGCACATTGTGCACATTTCTCCCGTTTCTCTATTGGCATCTTTTTTGAAAAATTGGAAGAAGAAGGATTTTTAAAAGTGCTGCACTGAGAATTTCCGAAATTTTGAGATGGCTTTCTGAATTCAGAGTATCAAAAAAAATAATTATAAAAACCTAACCTTCAGCTTTGAGACAATTTACCTCTGTTTCTGTGAAAGATTTCAAAAAGTGGTCAACTGATAAATTATTTATCATAACATAAGCAATATTTTATCAGTTGAACACTTTTTGATATTTCTCAAAAGAGCCCAGATAATTGAGCTCAAAGAGAAAGTATAGAGTGGGCTTCTGAGCATCTGTACATGCCCATAAGTAGATTTCGAACTCAATTATCTCGGTTGCCATAGAAGATATTAAAAATTTGTTGACTGATAAAATGTTCATCATGATATCAGCAATACTTTATCAGTTGTCTTTTACAGGAACCGAGATAAATTGGCTCAAAGTTAGGGTGCTCTATTAAAGCAATTACGGTAGATGTCCACAATCAATTTTCAGATTTTCAGACTCCAACAAAACAGTAATTTTACACCAACAAATAGTTTGCAGAAAAAACCTCAATACAAAGTATAAAAAGAGAGAAAACCGAAATCGTATGACCTCCATTTTCAACACACAAAAAGAAAACTTTTTTGTGTATTTGTCGAGAAAAACTGTCGCATGGAAAGATTGGGCGAGGAGGAAAATGAGAATGTTAGTTGGAGTAAAAGGAGTAAACAAGAAACAAATACGATTAAAAAACACAGATGAGAAGATTTTTTTTTGAGTGTCTATGTCTCTTCGGAAATTGAACTGGGATACATTTCAGATCAGGTGGTTGGGTTGTGTATGACAGGAGGTGGAAAAGGAAAATAAGGAATTGGAAAAGAGGTTGATGGATTTTGACAACTTAGGGAAATAGAAGAAAGCTGAAAGGAAAGTTAGTACTAATCATCGAATTAGAACTTTTTTCTGAGATTTTGATGATGGAGGGAAATGAAAAAATAGTTTTCTCGAAATTTAGTTTTTATTTGCCCCTCGAGGAATGGAACTTGTAGACCCAAAGGTGGAGAAGCTGCGCTGCGACCAGCTGAGCTACGGTAGCTGAGGCGACCGAACGATGGGATATATGAAATCGGTTCGAAGGGTTTTGCATTACTTGTATAATCTTGGGACAGGTGATCCGACGCGGGTCTACCCGGATTGCTGGTTTTCAAAAAAGTATCCATAGGATTGATAGAATTCCAGCCTATAGAAAGTTTTCTATAATGTTTTCTATGACTCCGCCTGTATGCTAAATTCGAAACTTAAATTTTTTGAAATTTCAAAAAACCTCGAATATTGAAACTGTTCGGTCTCAAAAATGGGTTTTGCAATTCGAAAATAGAATATTTTCGAATTTGAGATTTTGAGATTTTGACATTTTCAGATTTCTCAAAACTTTGGACGATATTGAACGCTAAAAACATACAGTACCGGTCAAAAAAAAAACAAAAACAGTATTTTTTAGTTGATTTTCGACCATTTTGACAATTTTCAAAAGTCTGCAGCTCGGCTGTCAAGTTTCAGATCACTTTGACGACTTTGGAGGGTTTGAAACAGACTTAAATCAAAAACTTGGCATTCACAGAATTATTTGAAAATTCTTAGTTTTCTAGCTTATCACCGATTTTTGAAAGGCACCTGTTTTTTCCTGTTTTCACCATTCACTAGAAAAATGTGCCCGTATGGTCCTCGGAGAAATCGAATGCCAAGATTTTAAAAACTTTTATTTTTCAGGTTTCAATATCAGTATCTACAATTTGAAGAACTGGGGCATTCCAGGTATCTCTGAGATAGGTAGATCTGAACATCACAAAAAGAGGACGATTTACTTTTGGGATCCTGAGAATCTAGTTAGAGTCCAAGATTCTCAGAATTCTTCAAAGTTCCAAAACGCAACTAACCTTTTCCATATCATCATTCCGGAAGTCCAAATGTTTGCAAATTCCTTTTTTCAAATACAAATTACAGTTTTCAGTTCATTCCCCATTAACACATTGGCTTTTATACTTTCCTCCTGCTCACTTTTTTCGTGTACGAAATTTTGTAGTTTCCGCCGGAAACCCCCTGGGTGCTTCTTATCAGTTAGTGACCAAAACTTTAGATTTTTTTCTAAACAAGGTACGACGAAACAACCAAAAGCATTTCTATTTCTGGAAACATTTAATCAGTTCGAATGATAAAAAATTCAGTTCAAAGTCTGGAGAAAAGTGGGTTTCCTTGTGATTCACCTAGACATAAAAATTCACGTGAAGGGGTTTTGGAAAACGGAAATTCGGGGAAGAAAAAAGAGAAGAAGATGAAAGGTTAACGATGAGAGATAACAAAGGAATGGAAGAGGTGATCAGTGGAAGATATCAGAAGACGTGAAAATTTGGAAAAGAAGAAAATGGGAGGTAGTTGTGTGATCAAGTCAGAAGACATGAAAGAAAATATGATCAGGAGGAAATTCAGGATAACATGAAATTTGATATTTCGAAAGATTTCGTTAAGTTTTGCACGAATCAGATCACACAATTTTACACTTTTATTTCTCTTAATTTACCGTTAAACCTTTAATAGAAGGGCCCCCAAAATGTTAACTTAAGCCGATGTATCTTGGTTCTTGTGAAAGATATGAAAAAGTTGTAAACTGATAAGATGTTTATTATTATATCACCAACATTTCACCAGTTGACTCATTTTGATATCTTATAAAGTAACAAAGATAAATCGGCTCAAAATTGACAGTGTGGGGACCAGAAAATCATCTTTTCAAGTGAAAAAGAAAAAGAACATTTGCGCTCTATTGAGATTGAAAATCGAAAAATCATCCATAGAGTGCGTTTGCATTTTTTCTGAACTTCTGAATTTCTGAACTTTTGAAATTCTGAATTTCTGAATTTCTGAATTTCTGAATTTCTGAATTTCTGAATTTCTGAATTTCTGAATTTCTGAATTTCAGAATTTCAGAATCTCAGAATCTCAGAATCTCAGAATCTCAGAATCTCAGAATCTCAGAATCTCAGAATCTCAGAATCTCAGAATCTCAGAATCTCAGAATCTCAGAATCTCAGAATCTCAGAATCTCAGAATCTCAGAATCTCAGAATCTCAGAATCTCAGAATCTCAGAATCTCAGAATCTCAGAATCTCAGAATCTCAGAATCTCAGAATCTCAGAATCTCAGAATCTCAGAATCTCAGAATCTCAGAATCTCAGAATCTCAGAATCTCAGAATCTCAGAATCTCAGAATCTCAGAATCTCAGAATCTCAGAATCTCAGAATCTCAGAATCTCAGAATCTCAGAATCTCAGAATCTCAGAATCTCAGAATCTCAGAATCTCAGAATCTCAGAATCTCAGAATCTCAGAATCTCAGAATCTCAGAATCTCAGAATCTCAGAATCTCAGAATCTCAGAATCTCAGAATCTCAGAATCTCAGAATCTCAGAATCTCAGAATCTCAGAATCTCAGAATCTCAGAATCTCAGAATCTCAGAATCTCAGAATCTCAGAATCTCAGAATCTCAGAATCTCAGAATCTCAGAATTCCAGAATCTCAGAATCTC